TAACATAATGTCAGGAAGTTTCAAGATTATTAGAATTCTGTGCATGTTGAAAAAAAAATATAAAAAAACATGTAATGTTGTGTGAAAATTCTCACGGTATATACGATACAAGAGTTAATTTCAGCTTCAAGCATTCTTGCAAATTGCGTATTGATTATGTAAAGACAGCAAACTTTATTGACGCCCAACGCACAATCTGAATAGCTGTCACATCAAGTCAACACATACTGTACCTTCAACTAGTCTTCGTAGAGTTTTATACAGGGTATTGTTAAATTTGCTTAAACGCAATTAAAGAATGATATATTCGCGGGATCAATATTTATTGTTTAGAATTCGTCGAGATGATGTCTAATGACAAACGAGAACATGGCAATTACAAGAGAGAAGAGAAATGGGGTTTAACATCCACTCAACACAAACTAGGTCAATTCAGAAAAACTGTTTAATAACACCATAAATCATTTAATTTGTACTTGTGTCCAATTTAAAGCTGACAGATTAATTTTGATAATGAGTGTCCAATTTATAAGTGTTTAATTTCTCAATCACTGTGACAAAATAAACAACCCAACTGAATATTGATGTATAATGATTAAATTTTGAACAGTGGTCAGGAAATTGAATACTTGTAAATTGGACACTCATTATCAAAATTAATCAGTCAGCTTTAAACTGGACTCAAGTACAAATTAGATGATTTTTGGTGATTTTAAATGATTTTTAAACAAAGATTTGATATTAAACGAATGTGAAAGAAATTAGTGCTAGATACACAAGATTAAATGATACGTGGGTTACAGTGTTTATTACGATGTATGTAATTTTAATTGCTTGAAACTATAATAATGTGAAATATCAGCTCAAAATGGTTGAAAACTGTGTTTAGAACATAAATATAGTACCAATGGATTGGGACAAAAGTTACGAAAATTACTGATGCCTACCCTCTCTAATACATTGTAATTGACAGTTGAAGTCGTACAATTGATATGGAAAAAAAGAAAGGAAGAAAAAAGGAAGATAAAAATAATGTTGTGGTAGGAAATACCATTCACTTGTATATGTATGGGTCTTCAGCCTTGGGAGGAAATGAAATGGGGTTTAACGTCCTACTGTTCTGCTCCTAAACTGGGCTAATGAAGACGGGCATACGCCATACAGTGTGCTGTGAGGGAAATTTTGCCCAGGCAGCGGCACTACGGCCTCCTCTTATATCGAATTCCAACTGCCCAGGGATCTTTTACGTGCACGCCAATGTGTACACGGGACCTCGGATTTTCATCCCATCCGAACGACTAGACAGCTGTTCTTGTCAGGCCCTCCATCCTGCATCACTGATAAGGGGGAAACCAAGCCGGAAAATCTGGATGAACTTTCTCGGCCAATGCAGGGATCGAACACCCGACCTCCAGGCTAGCGAGCAAGCGTCTTACCCACTTAGCCACGTGGTCCCCCCGTGGGAGGAAATCAGAACCTTTAAAATATAACCAGACTTCAACAAAAAATAATTCTAGATGATTTGTTATGTAGAATGTTATTTTCTGAATAGGCTAATATATATATATATGATTACCACAGAAAATAACAACAAACAGATACACCTGTTCATAATTTTTAAAATAAAATTCACGTACCGGCTATCCTGAATAAATGACTAGTCTATAGAGATAGGTAAATATCTAACTTTATTATAACAAGCTCTCAGAGGAGTGAAAAGTACTTTAAAAATGTTAAAATATTATCTAAAGATACATTATGGGAGATAAGATAAAGAGTTGACAGTTCTCACTATGATAGTTAAATACTAGATAACATAAATAGAAGATGCTGAAAATCTTATTCAAATTGCTTTAATTTGAACCGAGATATTAGCTTTTGAATTTTAGGCTAGCCTCAATCATCATTACTAATGTCAGTACGATAAAAAACAAAGTCTTGATTATACATTTTTACATTAAATTATCAATCACAAAATGTATTCAAATCCAGTATCGCAGACTAACGATGGCACCAAGAGTTGAATATGGTCTCGATGAGTTAATTAATGTCTAATTAATAATTTAGATAACATTTCAGGCCTAAAGAAAGACCTGTAATAGGCAGATTTAGCTCTTGCATAATGTATGTTTAACCACTGTTAAAAAAAAGCTTGTGTCGACATGCCTTTAATCGTTTTACCGTGGAACAATGTAATGCAGCTTTACAGTTGTGGTAATCTTTTTGGATTATAATATCTATATATATATATATACTCTTCAAAAAAAGTAGGGGATATTCAGAAACAATACAAAACTGCGGAAATGCACTGCTGTTTTTATTAGAGGTAACCAGTGTATGTTAATAACAGGCCAATTGCCTACACATGAACATAAACAGTTCATATGGGCGGCTTATCTCACACTCGCAAAGAGATACACTGTCAAAAGTGAAAATGGACGTTTTTGATTTTTGTCTTAATAATGAGTAATTGCTCCATCAATCCTCAGATATTCAGCAATTCATCGTGGCATGCTCCTAATCAACCATCCAATCGCAATTTGGGGCAATCTGACCCACTTCTCTTGCAGTGCCACAGTCAATTTTTGCAGTGTTGTCGGCTGACGCTGACGAACACGTCTCCCGATCAAATTAAACGTAACACTAAAGTAAAGATGCGCTTAACAGTAAATCTTATGCAAGAACCGATAGGAAAGCAAACATGGATAGGATAAACCAGCACGCGGCAGTTTTCATCAACCCTTCCTTGAAGTGTCAAATTTGTCAATGAACCCCTCCCACGTATATGGCGCTATTGTGTGTCGCACGTGCAGCTCAGTGGTTCTGTTAGGGAGAAAAGTTCTTCATCTGTGAACATACTCTCAAAGCATGTCAAGTGTCCATGACTATTTATCATATCGCAACCTGCATAGGTATTTGCATTTCAATATTCCTTACTTTTTTTGAAGAGTATATATTTATATAGATGTGTAATCATGTTTTATATCTGCTTAAAGATTAGTACCAGTAATGGAAGAAAAATCAATTTATTTCTGTCAAGTACAAATATAGACAATTTATATTTACACGCTATCTAAACACATCCACAGCAGAAATTGACATTTTAAACAGTTCTGCTATAGGTAGAACAATAGATCTACATGTACAATGTATATGTCACCTGTGACAGCAGAATGGGTCTCAAGTTGCAGGTCGAAATAGGCTAATAATATCAAAAAAAATTTAGTTTGCTTTAATTTAAAGTTTTACCTTTCATAATATCTTCAGGCTCATTTTGCTTTCACAGAAATGAAATGAAATGGGGTGTAACATCCTACTGTTCTGCTCGGACTGGGCTAATGAAGACGAGCATACACCATAAAGTGTGCTATGAGGGAAATTTTGTCCGTGCAGCCACGCTACTAATTACTCTTATATATCGAATTCCAACTGCCAAGGGATCTTTTATGTGCACGCGAATGTGTACATTGGACCTCGGTTTTTCATCCCATCCATATGACTAGACTGCTGTCCTTGTCAGGCCCTCCGTCCTGCACCACTGACAAGGAGAAACCATGCCGAAAAATCCAGATGATCTTTCTCAGGCAATGCAGGGATCAAACACGCAACCTCCAGACTAGCGAGCCAGCATCTTACCCACTTAGCCACCGTGGCTCCCAAATACTTTGGTCATTTTGAAACTGAAATCTATGGTAACAACATGTGCAATATGTACGCAGGTCAAACTTAGTTTTTATATCCCATCTGAACAACTAGTCACACAGAATAACCTGATTAAAACACAGATCCTATTTTGTTTCGTTTTTAACAGTTCAAAATTTTGTTTTACTTGTCTTTGGAAGAGTTGTTATATAACCTGAATTCTTGTTGTGTGTGATGTGCGGAACTGGGTATCCAACTTGAAACATTAACGCTAATTTGTTAATCAAATGTCTGATGTCATAGGGTCAAAAGCTGCTCGTATGACCCCTGACGCGACCTCCCTCTACAACTGGTCCGATCTTCGTGTAGTAGAGGCCATCAAAAGTATAAAAAAACAAAATATAGATCAGAGCCCCGTTTCTCGAAATCTTAACTAAAGATCCAAATCTTAGTAGATACTTCAATTTTGATTGGCTAATAAGCACTAAAATCAATCTAATATTATCCAATCAAATTACTAAAATTTGGATTTTATCTTAGTTCAAATTTCGTGAAACAGGCCCCCTGTATTTTAATCCGAATGACAAATCGTAAATGTTTCTCTCAGCTTACGCTACGATTTAAGCAACGAACAATCTAACTGAGGGACTAGTGTCCTTACCACTTGACAACCTGAGATATTTCTGAAGTTCAAGGGCAATAACTTAGAGAATATCTGAAATATCATGTAGAATACAAATTCATCTTAGGTCACATGGAAATCAGAATATATACAGGGCATTAATTAAAATTAGAAATCATATCAGGTTCAACATTCTACTTTTCTGCACAGATTGGGCTATCAAGATCAATCTGATATTTCGTTTCGTATTTTTTTATACTTTCGATAGCCTACACTACATGAAGATCTGACAAGTTGTACTCGAAGGTCGTGTCAGGGATCATACAAGCGGCTTTTGATCCTATGACGTCAGACATTGATTAATCAATCAGTGCGGACATTTCTAGTGATTTACCCACAGTTCCATGCTTTGCATGCTAAGAAGTCACCATAACGAACCATTTCATTGGCTTATACCTCACGCTATCCAGAACGCTGGTAGCTTAATATAACAACTCTTCCAGATCCTAGTGTAGTAAAGACAAGTAAAACAAAATTTTGAACTATAAAAAAAGAAATGAAATAGGATCTGTGTTTTAATCAGATTGGCTATCAAGATGTGCATGTATAATTAGAAATCTACTTCTGCGACTTAAGATTCATTTTGTTATCACCGGTCACATATGTCATGCAGTGTTTTATGAGGGAAACTGGTGAATTATAAGAAATATATAAATGTTAATATATAAATATTTACCTGTTTCAGTTGAATCCCAAACATTCTGTGACCAGCTATGGTAAACTGTTAAATTAAAATTACAAATTTATATTAACAAAAGACAAATTACAAAAAATGAAATAGGGTTTAACATCCTACTGTTCTACTCTGACTGGGCTATTGAAAACAGGCATATGCCATACAGTGCGCTATGAGGGAAATTTTGCCTTATCGAATTCCAACTGCCAAGGGATCTTTAACGGACACGCCAATGTATACACACAACCTGGGTTTTTTTTTGTCCCATACAAACAACTAGACAGCTAGACAAAATCCTGATGGACTTTCTCAACCAATGCAGGAATTGAACACCTGACCTCCAGGCTAGCGAGCCAGCGTCATTGTGTTTATAGTTCAAACAATTACTCTCCTCAGATCACCGGAAATCACAGAACTAGTATACTAAATCAGAGATATTTGACATACTTCTTGTTTCCGTTGTTTTAAACAGTACAGGTGCTAATAGGCGTAATTGATATACCACGATTGTCAGAGAACTCTACACCATGTTTTGAAAATATAATATAGTTACTACCTTAACAATGTAATTAACCCGTCAATGCATAATAGGCCAAACATAAAAATATTCTCGTTCTCAGACAAATATTAAAAACTTAAAAGAATTCTAATATTATATTAATTATATTATTATTAGACCTATACAAAACTTGCCATACTTTTAAATAGAAATAACTACCGGTACAATACCCGATAAATATTTTCGTGGGAATATTCATCTTTTAATTTGAGGTGACCTTACTCAAAAAAGAGAGAGAGAGAGATGGGGTTTAACCTCAACTCAACATAAACTAGATCATTTCGGGACTCACATATAGTTCAATTTTATTTCAATAATTCCTTTGTGCAGTGGGAGGAGACTGGAGGACCCGTTCGACAGGCGACACTACTCCTTGTCACCTACAACCAGGGAATCGAAACCACGCCAGATGACTCAATGCCAAACGTAGCATTGACTATCTATATTCCAGTTGAAACTCTTTAAAATGTCCGTGGAGTTCTAATCTACTTAAAGTTACAATTTCATATTTTCTAAGAAAGTCAAAACGTAATTATTTCTATGTCTTTTGCTCAGTAGGTTGTCAACTCACTATTATACGATCATAGGTTATCTTTCTCACACTTAAAAATCTTCACAACAGAAATAACAACACAATTACCTCCCTTGTTTTCCTATTCCACCATGGAATAGCTATCTTCAAACGTTTGAATTTGAAGTTGAAAATGATATTTTTGCCAATTCAACTGGCAATAGTGAATTATAGTATTAATAGGATTATTCTTTAACAAGGTAGGACTGCTTATAGATACCATCTATTTTAGGGCTTTATTTTAATACATTTTAAAAATATAACTTAAAAATATGAAATTGTAACTTTAAAATCGGAGCCATCTGATGCCCAGAGAGTTTGCTTCTCATTTAAATAAATGTTTAAATAAAAATTTATATAGGCTAACATTTGAGGTAAAAAATCTACAAGACAAATTTAGCTCTTACATAATGTCTCTTTAACATCACCAGAAGAACATCATCATGTCCCTTTAAATGTCATTGTTTCACTAATCACAAAGGAAATTGTTACAGAAATCAATAAATTTATCTTTCCGGTCAACATTAACATTTTATATTACCATTTACTTTATACACTTATATATATATATATATATATATATACACAGGGCTTTTAGTATTTAGGCCACATCAGTTTAATTTTCTGTGTGTTGATAAACAAATAGCAACTTAAAGGAGCTAAATTGCTAACATTTGGGACCTAGAAATTGACAAAAGTGGGTCGCAACGCATATAATACTGTAGTATGAATGTATATAAACTGATTTACATTCAATGGTTTCCGTTTTTACTCCAATTTCAAATCAATTATGTTCGGCGAAATAAGCCAGCAGTCTCAAGCGAGTGCAAATTTCTAGCGTCTGGTTATTCCAGTCTATATACGCCGTTTGATTTGGTGCAATGTGTCTAGCCTCGTCCCTCGAGTCTCTTGATACAACTGGGGCTGAAGCGCATTATGGTACACGAATGGTAAAATGTTTATTTTGTCTTAAATATTGGATATCAAAAGCCCATCTTTTTCCGGTAAGATCACAACATGAATGTTGATTTAATTTGACAAATAAATCGTGTTTTCAATGTTGAAGATTTTGGATGATATTAAGTTAGAGACTTAGCTACTTTAAACATGCCTTATACTGATCTCCAAGAAAATCATCCGAAAATCTTCACACAGAATCTTATAATTGCATATTCTAAAAATAAAAATCTGAACGACATCCTAGTGCACAGTAAATTAGACTAAATAACACCAGTCGTCAACCTAACCCTAAGCAAAGAATTTATCAAGCCCTTAACCCTTAGTTAATAAAATCAACTAGTTATAAGAATCCCTAGCCCTAACCACGGGATAGTGAAAAAAACCTCATTTTTAGAAAATCCAATCCTTATTAAAAAAAACACTAATGTGGCTCTCACCCGAGAGCCTCAAATTTATTCCATTTTTTTCTTCTGAAACCAGAATACCACAAGCAGCACCAAAGGAAGACCATCAGCGCCCCCAACACAAAAAACAGCAAAACCAACTTTGTATATTAATCTAATGTATTTTATGTATTTTTTAATAAAACTAGGAAATATCACGAACCAAATTTACATCATCCTTGGTCAGTGCTTATGTGGAGACTTGACCTCTCCCTCAAATTCTTAAACCTAACCTACAATCTCGCCAACAATCATGTGCTCTAACCTTATTTACATCTCAAAATTGAGCTGGCCTTAACAAATAGATTTAGCCCATGCATTATGCAAGAGGTAAATCTGCCTATTGCAGGTCTTTCTTTAGGCCTGAAATGTTATATAAATTATTAATTAGATATTAATTAACTTATCCAGACCATAATCAACTCTCGATGCCATCTTGTGTCCGATTTTCTTTTGATTTGAATCCGATCTGCTGTTCAACATCTGTTGATGATTAAACGCAAAAATGGATAATCGAGACTTTGTTAATTATCGTGACAGTGGTAACGATGACAATCGAGGCTACAGAGATTTTAAAATAAGGTTTTCTTGGCTTAGAGTGAAGCAATATGACTGAAATTTTCAGCAAAATCCATTTACATCATCTAGTTTTTATCTATTATAGTGAGAACTTCTAGCTCTTTATCTAATCTTCCATAATGTATCTTTAAATCACACAAAAGTTATTTTGTTTAAAATTTCAAAACTTTAAATTTTGGAACTAAAAGCCTTTGAACCAAATACTTTAGGTTTTTAAATTAGTCCTTTTGCCGAAAAAACAAGAAGGACAATTTTTACAGGTGTTCCCGAAGAAATAAGAAATACAATTTTTACAGGTGTTCCCAAAGAAATAAGAAGTACAACTTTTACAGGTGTTCCCAAAGAAATAAGAAGGACAATTTTAACAGGTGTTCCCGAAGAAATAAGAAGGACAATTTTTACAGGTGTTCCCAAAGAACTAAGGAGGACAATTTTTACAGGTGTTCCCGAAGAAATAAGGACAATTTTTACAGGTGTTCCCAAAGAAATAATAAATACAATTTTTACATATGTCCCTGAAGAATTAAGAAATAAAATTGAAGAGCCCAGGGGAAGAATGATTTAAGTCACTTTTTCAACGAACCCCAGTTAATGGCTCCATCTGGTACCAAATTGTATAAGCTTTCCGTGGAACAATCAATTTCAGGTAAAAACAATCGAAGTCACATCAAACCAAGGTCCTTCTGAAATGGCCTCCCGGACAAATACAAGTCCATCGTACCCTTTATTTAAAGGCTCAATACCACTCTTGTTGTAACTGAATAATATGTCCCAATCTTTATTCTGGTCAACAAATTGTACTATTTTACAATATTCCAATTAATTGATGATACAAATTTCATCTTAACACACCTAATTTAAAAAATTGGAAAAATTCAACTAAATGATTTAAAAAGCCTGACGTAAAGCTTTTCAAATGTGACTTGGATTTAAAAATATTTTTGAAACCTCTGGACAAGTAAAAATTGGATTTAATGGATAATTTACACAACAGGTAGGACACTAACACATCTAGGCTATTATTTATTTCTGGAGCTGTCAAGCCAGCAAGAGTGTCATTGTCCCTTTAACCTTAATTTGCCTGAAAAGTTAAAGTCAGTTGTACTGGTAATTATGGTCTGTGTTAAACATCATTTTGAAGTTGTAATTAAACCCACTTGTTGTTCTGTTCGTGTCAAGCATTCTTGTCGAAAAGTCTGTTTTGGGTTTTATGCAAAGAGACAAAAATGTGACGTAGATCGTTCTTCCCTAGGGTCCTGTTTCTCGAAATCTTAACTAAAGATAAAATCCAAATTTCAGTAGATACTTCAATTTTGATTGGCTAAGAACTAAAATCAATCTAATATTATCCAATCAAATTACTAAAATTTGGACTTTATCTTAGTTAAAATTTCGTGAAACAGGCCCCTGGACTCTTCAATTTTTACATGTGTTCCCGAAAAACAGAAAATAAAACTGGTGTGACCTAATGGTACATTACACAGTCAATAGTGGAAATAACAATATCAGCCAATGAATACATTAGAATAAAATTAACATAAAGTTAACATAGAATCAGTCAAAATAGATAATCGTTTAAATGCTAATACCAATACGAACAAATTTGGACTGCAATATTTTATAATATATGAGTCAAAATGAGCTTCATGTAAAAGCTGTTAATTATACTTCAGTTCTACATTGACAAGACTAATGAAGACTGGCATACGCCATACAGTGTGCTATCGAGGAAACTGCCTGGACAGCCGCGCTGCGGCCTACTTTTATTTTGTATTCTGTCATGAGTTCTTTTACGTAAATTCCAATGTGTATATGGGAACTCAGTTTTCCGTCCCGTCCGAACATCTAGATACTGTTCTTGACAGCCCCTCCATCCTGCACCAGGGAGAACTATGCTGGTAAATTCTGAAGATTACCAGTGTGTTTCTCACCTTACTGATACAGAATCGGTTTTATTTGCGAACGTAACCGTAGTATAAAATTTAGTCACAGCTTATAAATGTCATTTTTGAAAGAGTTTTTCCACATATGACCTTTCTTAGCATTACCCCAATTTTCTTCGAGTGATTTTAAAAACAAAAAATATAAATGTAATGATTAAATTCTTTGAAAGTCTAATTTCATAAAGTGTTTATATTGACTAGCCAGTCAATTTGAATACCAGTTAGTCAAATCTGACAATAGATATGACTGTAACTAGTGCCCACCCTTGTGGGTTTCCTACGCGTCCTCCGGTTTCTTCTCACTGCTATTGAATGGAATTGAACCATATGTTAGTACCAAAATGACCTAGTTTGTGTCGAGTGGATGTTAAACCCCATTTTTCTCTCTTTCTCTGTAACAATTGCCCTGTTTTAAAGATACCTTATACAGGATCTAAATTTGCCTATTGCATGTCTTTCTTTACGCCTTTTATTCAATTCGATTAAAGACAGACCCATCAAAACAATCTAACCAAGAATTGAATACAGGTTGTGATGGTTTTTTAACCATGTGACATTTATGTCGTCTGCAGCTAGAGGCAGCCTAAGTTGTCAAATTTTCCAATCAGCATACATGTATCTTTTTAAATTCTGAATGATTTTTTTTTTTTTTTTGTGGTATTGCTTTTAGAGATGCACCTTTTACAATATTTTAGTTTGGAGGGGCTTTCCTCAATTTTTGAAATGACGTTCAGAGATTTTACAATATTCAAAATATTAAAATCAGTATTTGATGTGATCACTAACAGCAGTCCACCATAACCTGGTGTTTTCTATACAGGGTTTCAGATAGAAATCGCACATGGACATGTGACTGAAGATATTAACCATATTTGGTAATAACTGCTAGGCAAGTCAATGAGATCAGGGCATCGAGACTTTAAGAGACTATTATGACTTCGAAGCCACGAATGAGATAATTAGGTAGCACAGTATGTTTCCTCTCTTTTCATCTACCCTTGTTTGCTAAAGACAGAGAGAGGGAAAGGGGGAGAGGGAGAGGGAATTAAGTCCACTCAACACACACTAGGTCAATTTGGGACTAACATGTGGTAATTTATATTTCAATAATTCGCTTGCGTGTAGGAGTCTTTAGCATCGGGAGGAAACCGGAGGATGCAGAGAAAACCCACAAGGTTTGGCAAGCGACCCAACTCCATGTCACATATGTTTGCCTTGAGTTGAAACCATACCACTTGACTCAATGACAGATCAAACACCCCTCTTTCATTCCCATTCTGATTAAAATACAAATCCTATTTCTTTTCGTTTTTTTTATAGTTCAAAATTTCGTTTTACTTGCTTTTGCTACACTAGGATCCGGAACAGTTGTTATCATTGACGTGTTCTGGATGATGAGAGGGGATTAGCCAATGAAACGATCGGTTACGGAGAGTTCTTGGCCCTTTGATCTACAGATCTGTGGGTAAACCACTAGAAACGTCAACGGTGATTGATTAATCAATGTCTGACGTCATAGGGTCAAAAGTCGCTCGTTTGGTCCCTGACGTGTACTACCACTATAACTTGTCAGATCTTCATGTAGTGGGGGCCATTGAAAGTATAAAAAAACGATACAATATAGATCTGTATTTTAATCAGATTGGTTCATTCCTTTATGATGGGGACAGCTTATTGTTGGATGTTGCTTATAAATTGTATTTTTGATCCGCCTCTTTTCAATGTGAATGAAGCCAAGGAAGCAGATTAAATGTTAAATGACAATATTGGTGTCAGCCATTATCACATATGTGCTAGAACTGGTAAAACATGTTACATAATTTTAACACAGAGATCATTGCTACGATAGATGCTTTATGAAACTTTTAAGAAAGGGAAGTGACGAACGCAAAAGGAAAACACGAGTTATCCTTCTGTATAACTGACTGAAGTAACGAGCGATAACAGATACACTGACGGATTTCTGCTCACTGAAGACCAAAAGTTGTTATATGAGACTGTGAGAGGAAATTTGACAATTCAAAAGAATAATTGAATGTCACTAGATAAGAGAAAATGAGAAACATAGAAATAGTCCCTACATTTGTTGTTCTTATTCATTCTATACTTAATAAAAACATGGTAATGCTCGAACTTTTTCTATTTTTTTTTCTATTTTTTTGTTTGTTTTTATTACAGTATCATCGTAGAAACTGAAAAATTTGATTTTAAATCATTTGAAGTTTAAGCGGCTTTGAAGTGGAATGCCCTGCCGTTAGCTTTAAAATCTGTTCCAACATTTTCAATATTTAAATTTAAATTAAAGATCACTCCTGAGTCCTGTTTTCTAAATATTAAAAAAAAACAAACAAACAAAAATTTGAACATAACCAAGAATTAACTTTGTGTGTGCTTTGAGTAGTCTTTATTGTTTATAGTTTAGGTTTAGTGCTGGCCAGTATATAACTTACAAGAATTCTAATACTATACTATTATTAGACCTATACAAAACTTGCCACACTTTTAATAGAAATAACTACCGGTACAATACCCGATAAATATTTTCGTGGGAATATTTATCTTTTACTTTGATGTGACCTTACTCAATAAAGTATTAGATTGTACATATAATTTGAAACAAATCTGTCAATTGTCTCCGACCCTATATTATTTATAGGCCCTATTATAGCCTACATTTAAATATCTCTTAATTTATGACTGAGTTGTACAGTGGGCAAGTCTACAGGGTTAATCTGAAAATGATCATGCTATTAGGCTACTCAAAATTAATTATTTTCATTTTCTCAATGCAATTGATAATGTCATTTAATCAAATACAAACAAAAAAATATTATTGTATTTATAATATGCAATCAATTTTGTTACCATATTCTCTAAGAATCTTTAATTAAGTCAGTGATTAATTTGTCATAAACAAACAATCAACTTTCATAGGCTTGAATAATATTAGTTGGTTATTTTGTATTTAATAAAAAGACATGCATTCATAGAATTTTTAATTTTAAAGGAATGATGTGTAAGGCCTAATCATTTATTTAATAAGTCTAAGTCCAACTTTTTTAATCAATACCAATGTTTAATTATTATTATAATAATATATGCAATTGTTTAATTACTTTTTTTTAATCAAGATCTAAATAATTCACCGTTTGCGTTTTTTCTCAATCTATTCAGTAGTCATTATTTACACTCAAATCGTTCTATTCGTCTACTTTGAAGCTCGGGTTTCTGCCAGGTACAGAAGTTGGTTGCCAATAATGGCACTACACTGGCAACCGATAAAATTACAATTTCCTTGCAGAAAATCGATAAAAAGAAGGCAATTATAACGCGAGAGTAATTGTCATTACTTACCATCTGATAAACGGTTGATGAACTTTTCTTAAATAGGATCTTACACGGAAAATTTCAAAAACAAGGCATCGTTTTTCACTAATGTGTTGGTGCCACTTCGCCTGCAAGATGACTTGTTTTGGTCGCCATTTTACCTCTAGTCTCGATTGTAGTCTTGTTGTACAGGTCTGAAAGTCAAAGAAGGTGCGCTTCATTCACAAGGTGTTAACTCTGACGTCTGTTAGCTAATTAGATGCATTATTTGACATTTTCATCGCAATCGGTCTTCTATCGTAAATTATAGATTAGATGAGGGAAAACACTGTGATGTCTCTTTTTAGTCGGCATCTTTTTGTAACCGTCTTTAATCGTTTGTAGCTCACTTTATCGAAAGAAAGAAAGCATGAAACGTCTGCGGCTCTTACTCTTAGTCTCATGACAGACTGTTTCTGTATTTCCACTATATTCTGGCGGGTGCGTGCTTACTCTCTTACGGTTACCATATATTCGCACGTTTCCCTGACAGATTCCATGGCTCCAAAAATATAATACACAACATTGTCAGTTTGTATCAATTATGGACTTTAAATTATGGGGTTTTTTTTAATAAATTAATAAATAAAAATGTTACCATCACTACAACTCAGGTATCATTTTGTTGTGTTGTTTTATCCGGAGTTTCAAGCTGTATTTAATGTTAAGTTTCAAACCATAGTTGAGAATCATAGAAAACGATTGGGTTTCTACTGTTGTGTAGTTTAAAATGTCTGGTGTTTAGATACCGTAGCCTAATTATAGTGTTGGGTTTATAACTGTTTAGTTTCTCAAAAGGTGTTGATCGTAATTAACAGACTAATTAATTATTCAACACCATGAATATCATTTCTCTCATGAAGTTCCTGAAGAAAGACTGAAATCAAGAGTGTACAGTATATAAATAAAAAAATAAATTATACTATTCTTTGATATTGAATGGATTTTAATTTTGCTTGGATGTATTTAAGGATATAGAGTTCATGATTACCTTTTTGAACAAACTTTAAAAGCATTTGCAAGATTTATATTTAAAAATCATTCATTATACAAAGTAGCCAACGATAAAATTAAACTAGCCAATATAAATAGCACTATATTGCAAGTTAAAGATACATTATGGGAGATTAGATAAAGAGCTGGCAGTACTAGATTAATGTAAAGGGAATTTGCTGAAAATTTTAATCAAATTGATCCACTCTAAACCGAGTGTTTAGCAATTGAATTTTCGTCCTAGCCTCGATCATCATTACTAAAGTCGGTACAATAAAAAACATAGTCTCGATTATCCATTTCATGATTAAATCAAGAATGAAAGTGGAGCAGCAAATGGGGTCCTAATCCAGTAAACATCGCAGGCTAGCGATGACATTGAGAGTTGATTAGGATCTGGATAAGTTATTTAATGTCTAATTATATATTTTAGATAACATTTCAAGCCTAAAGAAAGACCTGCAATAGGCAGATTTAGCTCTTGCATAATGTATGTTTAACAAAAGTGCCTTTTATAGTTGATTGGATAGTAGGACAACCAAGGGCCGGAGCCACAGTGACTCAGTGGGTAGGACGTTGGCTCCCTAACCTGGAGGTCCCTACTTTGGCCGAGAAAGTTCAACAGGATTTTCCGACGTGGTTCCCCCTTGTCAGTGGTGTAGGACGCAGGCGCCTGGTAAGTGACAACATATAGTTGTTTTTATGGGGCAAAAAAAACAAGGTCTTGTGTACACAGTGCCGTGCACGTAAAAGAACCCTTGAAGTTCGAATTCGAAACAAGAGTAGGCCACAGTTGCACTGTCCGGGCAAAATTTCCCTGATAGCATATTTCATGGCATATGCCCGTCGTCATAAGCCTTGTATAGGAACAGAACAGTAGTACGTTAAAACCCATTTCATTTCATTTCATGAAAACCAAGGTCATTGGCGTACCTGTAAGACACTGCATGGTGTATGCCCGTTTTCATTATCCTAGTTGGTGCATTTTAAGTAGAACATTACCCCCCCCCCATTCAGTGGGTGAATCGAGTATTGCACTGGCGCCTCATGGCGTATGTCAGTGTCTTCATTAGTTCAGTTGGAGTAAAAAAGTAGCGTGTTGAAACCATATTAACCATGAATTTCATTTCCGAACTGCGACATAACTGTGGTGTCCAGGGATCATGTTAAAACAATGGCAACTTTGGAAATTTTGATGAGAATGCCCAGTTTGCTTACAGGACACTAGTCTCTAATTCAATATTGGTCAATTTAAATCAACATTGATGTTATTACCTTGCTATGAAAAGTTTGGCTTCTTATCAGTGGTGGCGCCAGGGAGGGCAAGGGGGGGCATTTGCCCCCCCATTAATCTGGTCTGCCCTCTGTTTCCCCCCCCCCCCCCCAATAATTTTAGAAAATAAAAAAAAGTATTTGTGATACGTTTCGGTAATCAATACCTTCTACGGAGAATAAATCCCACGTCCCCACTCAGTCATAAACTTGCATGTTGTCGAGCATTTCCAACAGTCTATTTTTCAAAATTTTTTTGGCGAGGTCCCCAATGGACTCGCTATTTTGGCGCTCAAAAGGGGAATTCGTTGAGGTTTGCAAGTCCGTTCGTTTGACATTTTGTTCTCTAGTCGGATAAACAAGTGATCAGGCGACGGGTCAGATCTATTTATCTCGACGATCCGTGCCTGACAGAATACTGTAAGACAGCCTTTCCGGCAGTCTATTTTTCAAAATTTTCTAGGGGAGGACTGCCTACTTTGACGCTCATAAGTGGGCTTTTTCGTGATTCGCAAGTCCATTCATTTGACACTTTACCTCACCGATCAGTGCCTGAAATACTGCCAGGCTGCATTTCTGCCAACCTGTTTTTCAAAATTTTCTGGGAGAGGCCCCCTACCCCTAGTTGAAGCTCGTGCCTTTGCCCCTTAACCTTGGACTTTGCCCCAGCTTTGCCCCTCCAATCACCGACAGCTGGTGCCGCCACTGCTTCTTATATCTAATGTTTAAGACAAAATGAAAATTTTAAAATTGGAACACGAATCGCGTGCCAGAATGCTTCTGGGCATCATTTGTAATGATTAGACTCAATGAACAGGAGTCCGGATGAATAACCAGACGCCAAAGACCGTCATTCAATTTGGACTCTTCGTGTATTTCACCGAACATAACTGATTTGAAATTAGAGTAAAAACCGAAACAATTGAATGTAAATCAGTTTATATACGTTCATATTACATTATTATATGGGACCGCAGTGGCTAAGTGAGTAAGACACTAGCTCGCAAGCCTGGAGATCACAGGTTCGCTCTCGGCGGTGTTGGCCTAGAAAGTTCTTTCGAGTTTTCCGACATGGTTCCCCCTTGTCAGTGGTGCAGGAAGGAGGGCCTGACAAGGACAGCTGTCTAGTTATTCGGATTGGACGAAAAACAACGACAATGTACACATTGGCATGCACGTAAAGATCCCCTGGCAGCTGGAAAATCAATATAAAATAGGCCTTAGTGCCACTGTCCAGGCAAAATTTCCCTCATAGCACACTGTATGGCGTATGCCCGTCTTCATTAGCCCAGTAGGAGCAATACAGTACGATGTTAAACCCCATTTCACTTCCCTTGCCCTTCCCCGCTGAGAAGGGGACACCAGGCTGATATATGATGAGAAACTCTTCCGCCAGAACTGGGATTGAACCCAGGACCTCCTACTTGGTGAACCAGCTCCTTACTCTTACTGAAACAATGGCCCAAGATATCCCAGTTAATAACTGCCTGCAAGATCACTGGCCATGAATCTGGTGTGCTCACCATCTTTATAGCATTCTACAGGCCCAGATTATATAGGTCCCCATTACCTGCCCGGGCCAGGGTACCCTGACGGAGGCAATTTCCTCAAACAGAACGAGGACGGACTGGGACCCCACAACACTAAGGCCCGAGTAGGTGGCTTATAGTTTTTAATTCTGTGTACTGTCAGAATCAAATTCTATCCTACCCACATTCACCGGTTTTATTTATTTTTTTTACAATCAAGTAATCCCAGATCTTCTGCTTGGGTAAGGCAGGACCTTACCGAGCCACTGTGGCGTTGAGGTGGCAACTGGACCTTGTATGGTGCGAGGACCCAGTTCTTTTACATGTATAAGTGAGGCTGTAGATTGGGTTAGAGCAATACACCTGTGGATTAAAATACATTTTAAATGTGTTTATTCATATGAAGAATGTGGGGACCCTTTGGAACTAAATCTTATGAAATTGTATAGCCATTTGTTACGAAAGTTCTTAAGTGTAAATCCATTTTGATTTAAAATGGTTTAAATTATTCATGTCTCAGTCGAGATCACTCGCGAAAAGCCCAATTATTTGTTTCGTAACATTTCTACTTGCATATATCAGCCTTCTAAATGATGTTGTTGACTTTTTTTTCGCTTTTTCGGTGAGTGTATTATGGGCTATTTCCGAATAGGTTAATAGATGCCATTTCTCTTTTTGTTGAACCATATAAGCATGATAAAGATTTAGTTACTTGTTGGGAAAGATATAGAGTACAGTGGTTTTCATTCATGTGGATCATTAGATTTTATTTATTTATTTATGCAGGGTTTTAGGCTAAAAAGACATTTTGGGGACACCAATTTTGTGTTAAAGGAGCTAAGTCTCTAAACTCAATATTTTCCTAATATTCCAAATTAAAAACACGAATTAGGTTCATTATTGATCAATTTCAATCAATATTGATGTTGTTATCTTGCTGTGAAACTAGAGAATCCTAATATCCAATATATAAGACACAATTAACATTTTATAATCAGTACACGAGTCGTGTGCCCTATGGTTTCGGGGGCCATTTTGTAATGAACAAAAAAAAACATATCCTACAACACAATGTGGAAGTCATTATAGTAAAGGCCGATTCGCAAACGATAAAATAATAATTTAAAAACCGTGTAGAATGCACCAGAAGGCGTAAACGACTGCCGTTCAATTTGAACTGTTCATGTATTTCACCGAACATAATTGATTAGAAAATACAATATTGTTTCAAAAAATGAACATAAATCACTTCACATACATTCATATTACATTAATATGTGCTTTTAGAATCATTTTTGTCTATTTCAAGGTTTCAAAAAATAGATCTCCATACGCCCTTTAAATATACCCAATTTATTATGCATGTATATTGGAAAAATATTAAATTGACGAAATATATTGAATCTCCTCCGCATTCATATCCCTCAGTGTCACCATCCTCATTAGCTCGGTCGATACAGAAAATTAGGAAGCTGCACTGAACCCCATTTCATTTCATTTTCTTCAATGCCATAATACGTGAATACGTCTGGGGTCTGATCCCTGGCAGATCTTTGCAAAGTTACTTCCCCTACACACTCTCCTGGTTTAGGAGTAGCATTAAAGGTTTTCCGGTTTCAATCGCGAGGTAAGCGTTTTTATTTAGTTAATTAGTTTATTTAATTTGAGTCGATTATTTAAAATAATTTCGTCATATATCTACAATTGTAACATATTAACACTTTTGGCGGAGTAAAGAAAGTAATATCTATGTTCACATTAATCACATTTGTTCATTGTATTATTATTATTTAGTATTTGTCACATGACAATGTTATTGTATTTGTCACATTCTGAACATTGGCTTGCTGATACTCAGATTGCTGCCTTCAGTTCTTGTGTTTTCAGACAACAGATTTGCGGGATTGTGTAACCCTTCCGCTCCACCCTACCGAGATCAGTTAGCGTAATTTGTTATGAGTATCAGTATGACTATCATCTATCTATGGTCTATGATGATAGATTTTATGGATGAACCGCGTTTATAACGAATACCAATATTTTAAAAATCTTTTTTTATCATCTTTTTTGTAATTACTATAGCAAGAATGGCCAACTCTTTATAAAACTCTTAACTAATGCATCTTTAATATTTGACATTAAACATTTTTTACTGTTATTTTCTTTGCCATTATCATTATGTAATCTAAGACTGACCTGACAACGAGAAAGCTTCTCATTAGCTGAAATTGTTGTGGCAACCAGTCATGAAATAAATGCTAAGGTTCAGTCTGACATCATGTGCAGTAATGGATATTAAGTAAAAGAAATTGCGACAGAACAAAATATTTTGATCAATTTCTTTCAGCTGATGAAATTTGTATGACATTGACCACTTAATTTTCCTTTGCCATTATCAAATATCTGATGCTGATCGTCATTTTCCTAGTTATTTAATCGAAACTAACTTGTACTCAAATTGATTGTTTAACATTTTCAGTCAATGCTATCTTTGTAAATACGGAATGTAATTGAACCTTTATCTGTCTGATGTTAGTTGTAGATATCCGAAAAACACATTAAATGAAGTTTGCAAGAAATCTTCAGTCCCAAAATTAACAATTAGCAACTTGAATATAAACAGATATAGAGAATCTCCTACGAGTCTTTTTAGAAATAAAAAAAATATCAACACAAGTTGATAAAGTAAAAAAAAACCGAGGCTCTGCCAAGTTTTTTTTACTTTATCGACAAGTGTTGGTATTTTTTTATTTAAAAAAAGACGAGCAGATTTTATTTATTTCACTCAATCCCTTCTTACATGCACAAATAAATAAATATACATGTAATTCTTTGCTATAGATTTCACTTTTACTGAACCTGATTACATTACGGCATGGTGATACATCATTTTATGACAGCAATTTAACCATTGCAAAGTCCTTTATATTGACCCAGTATTTCCATCAAGGGCAATTAAACAAAAATACTTCATTTTTAATAAAAAAAAAAAAAGAAGTTACTTTTAATACAGAATGAACTGTTCTTTAAAAATTATAAAAAGTAGTTCCTTTTCAACTGACCAATCACATTCATGTAAAGCGATATCTCCTAATATCGCAGTAAATTATGAAATTTATCACACAAGCGATATCTACTGTAGGATGTATTATTGTGTGATAAATTGAATTAAATACATGATGAAAATTAACAAATAAAAGACAATCTGTATATTTTGTAATCAGAATAATTTTTTTTTAGATGTCGGACGATAATAGTCGAAGTCCTTATGAACAGGGAGAACTGGAATCAAGTCCAGAAATTACCAGAGAAAAACCCAGCAAAAGGAAGGAAAGAAAATTGTCTTTATCTCCTGGTAAAACTGAAACTATTGGTGATATTGTTGTTATAGATAGGTAATTTATTTATTTCATTAACTGTCTTCATTAGCAGAACACAGAGAGAGAAATGGGGTTTGACTTTCACTCAACACAAACTAGGTCATCTCGGGACCAACATGGTTCAATTGTATTTCAATAATTTGCTTGCGTGTAGGGGTCTTCTTAAGCAGTGAAAGGAAACCGGAGGACCCAGAGAAAACCTACAAGGTTAGACGGGCGACCCACAACCACACCACTTTACTCAATGACAGGTATTTGAGTCCTGCATTTGAAATCTTAGCATATGTGTCCCGTGTAGCAAGTCTTTTACGATATGAACTAAAAATATTATCCAATGAAACGGTCTGTCACAGCGAGTTTTTGGTGTGAGGTGCACAGAACTGTGGGTAACCCAGATTGGTTAATTGAATGTCTGACGTCATAGAGTCAAAAGCCACTCGTATGACCTCAGATGCAACCTTCCACTACAAATGGTCAGATCTTAATGTAGTAGGGGCCATCAAAAGAATAATCAGATTGTGTGTTTATTTATATATTACAGAGATTCTGAAGATGACACGTTAAATATTAAACCTCCTCAGTCGCAATCTGGTAAGAGAGAGCGCTCACATAAACATAAACACAAGGATGATAAGCGAAGAGTTCGAGAGAGAAGACAAGATCGAGATAGGAACCGGGAGAGAGAGCATGGTAGAGAAAGAGACAGTATGTATAATGATGACGGTTTTTAATTTTCTGCTGCATACAAATTTCCCCCTTCTCCGTTTTGCTTTATTTATGAATAATAAAAAAACATGGATGCATTAGTAATAATCTCCAAGTAACAAAGTTGACAAGACTTTATCTGTCACAGTCTTGACAAGACTTTATTCGTCACAGTCTTGACAAGACGTTATTCATCATGGTCTTGACAATACTTTATTCGTCACGGTCTTGACAAGACTTTATTCGTCACAGTCTTGAAATATATTTTAAAAGTTATGCCCACACACGTATTTTGAAAATAAATGTTGTTTTTTTTTACAATTGTTAGCTATATAAACATCCCAAATCAAGTTGCATCCCATGTTTTAGAAACAGTAGATCTACAATTTACATTATTCGTCTCTAATTTCAGGGCCTAGAGCTATACATATAGACAGGCATAGAGTTCAAGATATCAGATCCGAACGACCAGAGAGGCCACAAGATCGTGTCCATTCTAATCGTGACAAAAGAGATGTCCGAGACACTAGAGAGAGGGATATACCAAGAGAAAGACTGGTCATCGAAAGAGAAAGACTGGTCGAAAGAGAAAGAGAGAGATTGGTAGAAAGGGAAAGACTGGTTGTCGAAAGAGAAAGACTGGTCATTGAAAGAGACAGAGTGGACGAAACGAGAGAAGAAAGAGAGAACAAGGAGAGTAAGAAGAGAGAACATTCACAGATGGAAAGGTAATATCACATGGATTACTAACAAAACCTAGGTCCCGTGTATACATTGGTGTGCACGTAAAAGAACCCTTGTCAGTTGGAATTCGATATAAGAGTAGACTGTAGTTGCGTTATCCATGTAAAATTTCCCTCATAGCACACTGTATGGCTTATCCCATCTTCATTAACCCATTCGGAGCAGAACAAAAGGATGTTAACTCACATTGCATTTCCTACAATGAGATATTAGTGAATAAAGGTCGTTACAGAGATCCTTGTTTTCAAAATAATCAGATGGCCGTGGAAGTCGAGTTGTTACATGTAGGTACTGGCCTTGTGACTTAGAATCCTAGTTTGGGGTTATTCAAGCCTAGTGCTTACTCGTTAGTGCCTATGGAAAGTGTAGCTAAGTGAGTACAATGTATTCATAAATTGTTCACATGTAGTATTCACATGTTTTATTCACGTGTTCACATGTTGTATTCACATGTTCACATGTTGTATTCACATTGTATTCATGTGTTCACAGTGTATTCATGTGTTCACATCTAGTATTCATGTGTTCACATGTAGTATTCACATGTTGTAGAGAACGATTAGAAGAAAAGGAAAGACAAAAACAGAGAGAAATGAGGGCAAGAGAAGATAGACAGAGAAAAGAAGAAAGAGAGAAAAGAAAAATGGAAGAAAAGAGATTGCAAGCTGCAAGACATGAAGGTATATTAATTTCCTCACTTACATAAGGAAAGGGGGTTGCTGAAGGGTTAGAACGTAGGTGCTGTATAATAAATTCAGTCAAATGGCATGGTTTCGATTCGCCGATTGTAGTGACAAGGAATAGGGTCGCCTGTCCAACCTCGTGGGTTTTCTCTGGGTCCTCTGGTTTCCTCTCACTGCTAAAGATCCCTACGAGCAAGCGAATTATTGAAATAAAATTGAACCTAGTTTGTGTCGAGTGGAGTTTAAACACTCTCCCTTTCTCTCTCCCTCTCTCTCTTTCTCTCTCTCTCTCTCTCTGAGGAAGCTTCTATTACTCAACACTTTGTCTACATAAACAAAATTCTTTTGGTTTGCATTGAAACATGTTTGGTAAAAGAGCATTAAACCTCATTAAGAATTTTATTTTGTTTCTATTTCATTTCACAGCCAGAGCTAAATCTCGCCAGGAGAGAGGGTATAGAAGCAGAAGTCGAGATAGAAACAGGAAACGAAATCCAGACAGGAGAGAAGAAAAGGCTTCACGAGACGCAGCAGAAAAAACATCAGGTATTATAATTATGTCTGTTTTCCACCATTTTATTATAAAGGGTATTTGCTAAAAATCGATCCACTCTGAACCGAGATTTTAGCCATTGAATTTTCGGCCTAGCCTCGGTCATCATTACTAAAGTCAGTACGATAAAAAACATAGTCTCGATTATCCATTTCATAATTGAATCAAGAATAAAAGTGGAGCAGCAAATGGGATTCTAATCCAGTGAACATCGCAGGCTACCGTTGACATTGAGAGTTGATTATGACCTGGATAAGTTAACTAATGTCTAATTAATAATTTAGATAACATTTCAGGCCTAAAGAAAGACCTGCAATATGCAGATTTAGCTCTTGCATAAGAAATTTGACATTTTAGCGAAAATACAAACTTTAATTATTCATTTTTTTAGGTCGTAAAAAAGGCCCACGAACACCAGAAGAACAATATATTGAACCCAAAGAAGAACAAATTGTTATCGAAGTGGATCCTCCTTCCTCTGAATTTGATCTACAAACTGTACACAGTGGATCTGAGGCTGGTACAGAATCAGAATCCGACACAGAATCAGGTATTTAAACGATCCGTCCTACGATTTACTTTTACTGAAATAAAATTGAACCATAAGTTAGTCCTGGAATGACCTAGTTTGTGTTGAGTGGACGTTAAGCCCCAGTTCTCTCTCTTGCTTTTGACCTATGACATCAGACATTTGATTAACCAATCAGCATTGATGTTACTAGTGGATTACCCTCAGTTTCGTGAAAAACACGCTTAAAGCTCGCCATAACAGACTGTTTCATTTGCTGATCCCTCACACCGTTCAGAACATGTCAATGTTAACAACTCTTCCAGATCCTAGTGTAGTAAAGACAAGTAAAACGAAATTGTGAACTATAAAAACGAAACGAAATAGGATGATGATATTATATATTATAGATAGCGGTGGTAGTAGTGAAGCTGTGAGTGATAATATAAACTGATGATATTATATATTATAGATAGCAGTGGTAGTAGTGAAGCTGTGAGTGATGATATAAACTGATGATATTATATATTATAGATAGCAGTGGTAGTAGTGAAGCTGACAGTGATAATATAAACTGATGATATTATATATTATAGATAGCAGTGGTAGTAGTGAAGCTGTGAGTGATAATATAAACTGATGATATTATATATTATAGATAGCAGTGGTAGTAGTGAAGCTGTGATAATATAAACTGATGATATTATATATTATAGATAGCAGTGGTAGTAGTGAAGCTGACAGTGATAATATAAACTGATGATATTATATATTATAGATAGCAGTTGTAGTAGTGAAGCTGTGATAATATAAACTGATGATATTATATATTATAGATAGCAGTGGTAGTAGTGAAGCTGTGAGTGAAGAGGATGAAAGTAAAGAAGAAGAAGATGAGGAGGAAGATGACGAAGATGAAGAAATGGCAGCAGATGATCATGGTCATGGTCATGGTCATCATGGTTAGTTAATTAGACCTGGGGCCTGTTTCACGAAATTTTAACTAAGATAAAATCCAAATTTTAGTACTTTGATTGGATAATTTAGATGGATTTTACTGCTTAGCCAGTCAAAATTGAAGTATCGACCAGAATTTTGATTTTACCTTTAGTTAAGACTTCGAGAAGCAGGGCATAGAGCAATTGAATTTTTATGCGGCCACATACAAGTGTGGGTGTGTTATGTCCATCCGGCAACAACAGACTCGTTAACACGATAGAGGTTACAGTTTTAAATCATTTTCCTTAAATTTGATGTGAAGCATTGAGGTCATCAGAGGTTTATTCTTATCGATTTTCAAAGCACTTCGACCTTTTAATCTGGAGTTATTTCCCTTTTCCGGAAACCTTGTTAACACAATAGTATAGTTTGAAACCGATTTCTTGCAAATTTTGTTTGGATAATCCTGTTAACTTTCAGCAATCCTTTTGGATAGTCTGATGTTTATACATAACTGCTGTGTGGACACTGCAGCTGTGTAGAATAAGGTCTGTCATTGAATCAACTGGTGTGGTTTCGATTCGCCAGTTGTATGTAACAAGGAATAGGGTCGTCTGTCCAATCTCGTCGGTTTCCTCAGGGGTTCTCTGGTTTCCTCCCACTGCTAAAGACCCCTGCGGGCAAGAGAATTATTAAAATAAAGTTGAACCTAATGTTCGTCCTGAAATGACCTAGTTTGTGTCGATTGGACTTAGGCCTGAAATGTCATCTAAATTATTAATTAGACATTAATTAACTTATCCACACCATAATCAGCTCTTGATGTCATATCTAGCCTGCGATGTTCATTGGATTAGGTTCTGATTCCCTGTTTGACTTCTGGCCAAAATTTCCCTCTTGACACACATTTACTAAACCCCATTTCATTTAGTTTCAATTGTTAGCTATGTGGTATCTGGTGTTCTTGACCAGTGGGTCGCCTGTCCAACCTCGTGGGTTTTCTCCGGGTCCTCCAGTTTCCTCCCACTGCTAAAGACCTCTACGGGCACGCAAATTATTGAAATAAAATTGAACCATGTGTTAGTCCCGAAATGACCTAGTTTGTGTCGAGTGGATGTTAAACCCCATTTCTCTCTCTCTCTCTCTTGACCAGTGGGCATAAATGCTCATTTTTGAAGTTAATCGAAATTTACAATTTCTGAAATCAATGAGATAAAGAGCTGGCAGTTCTCACTATAATAATTAAAAACCAGATAATGTAAAGGGGATTTCCTGAAAATTTCAGTCAAATGGATCCATTCCGAACCAAGGTTTTAGCGATTGAATCATATTACTAAAGTCGGTACGATAAAAAATATAGCCTCGATTATCCATTTCATGATTAAATTATGAATGGCAGTCAAACAGGAAATCAGAACCTAATCCAATGAACATGGCAGGCTAGATATGACATCAAGAGCTGATTATGGTGTGGATAAGTTAATTAATGTCTAATTAATAATTTAGATGACATTTCAGGCCTAAAGAAAGACCTGCATTAGGCAGATTTAGCTCTTGCATAATTTATGTTTAATGTTTTTTTATTTGTAGGTAAAGTCAAGTCGAAGTTTGATGAACATTCAGATCATGAAAGTGCTAATGAGAGTATATCCGATAATGAGAACAGAGCCTATATACAAGACTCACCACCTCTGTCTCCGATAGAACAGGAGATCAAACTACCCCCGTATCTCCCAGCTATTCAAGGTTGTCGTAGTGTAGAGGAATTTAGATGTTTGAATAGAATAGAAGAGGGTACATACGGAGTCGTGTATCGAGCCAAAGATAAGAAAAACGATGAAATTGTTGCCTTAAAGAGATTAAAGATGGAGAAAGAGAAGGAAGGTTTTCCCATCACATCGTTAAGAGAGATAAATACGCTGTTAAAAGCACAACATCCTAATATAGTCACAGTCAGAGTAAGTCTACTTACATCCTAATATAGTCAATGTCAGAGTAAGTCTACTTGCATCCTAATATAGTCACTGTCAGAGTAAGTCTACTTGCATTCTAATATATTCAGAGTAAGTCTACTTGCATCCTTATATAGTCACTGTCAGAATAAGTATTGTATCAGAAAATATTACTCAAAATTGTCCCCAACCCTGGGCCTTAAATAAAATACATATATAAAATATATATATTAATTCATTATATAACGGAATCAGCTATAGCATGACATCACTGCCTTACTCAGGTAGTTTTATTACTATGGTATCTGTTATATATTTTACAGGAAATAGTTGTTGGAAGCAATATGGATAAAATATACATTGTAATGGATTATGTTGAACATGATTTAAAAAGTTTGATGGAAGTTATGACATCACCATTTAGTGTTGGTAAGCTATCAATTTCTTTTAAAGGGTGTTTGGCTTTTTTCTTTCTTCATTAAAAATGGCAGCCGAAACCATAGAATATACACCTCGTGTTCATTGGGTCTTAAATGGTTAGCGCCTGCTCGTTGCATCACACGGTTTGTCATTGAGTCACCTGGCCTGGTTTCAATTCACAGGTTGTACTTGAAAAGGTTTAGGGTCACCTGTCCAACCTTGTGGGTTTTCTCTGGGTTCGTCGGTTTCCTCCCACTGCTGAAGACCCCTACGGTCAAGTGAATTAATTAATTAAAATAGAACCATATGTTAGTCCCGAAATGACCTAGTTTCCAATTTCTCTCTCTCACATAGAAATATGTCACTCTTATCATCCAAGGGTAAATGTTGACAAAACCTCGAACTTCATTCTTTTAATTCTAAGTTTACATGTTGTAGGTGAAACGAAAACTTTGATGAAACAGTTGATTAGAGCAGTGGAACATCTCCATGACAACTGGATTTTACACAGAGATTTGAAAACTTCTAATCTTCTCTTCAGTCATAAAGGAGTTTTAAAGGTAAAGTCATTTTATTATTTTCTAATCTCACATTGACAAGGACAGCTGTCTATTCGTTCGGATGGTGCGGAAAACTGAGGTCTTGTGTATACATTGGCGTGCATGTAAAAGATCCCTTGGCAGTTGCAATTTGATATAAGAGTAGGACAAAGTTCCACTGCCAGGGCAAAATTTCCCTCATAGCACATTGTATAGGGTATGCCCGTCTTAGCCCAGTCGAAGCAGAACAGTAAGAGGTTAAAACCCATTTCATTTCATTTAGAATGCTTCATCATTGCTTTAAAAGTATTATCAATCAGTTGTAATCTTTAAATACCATATTAACAAGGTGACAGATTCCACTGTATTTATCAATCAGTTGTTATATATAAATACCATATTAACAAGGTAGTCTTTATTAGTAGACACAGGCTATGAATAACGTGGCCTTTTGGTCTGTAGATGGGATATTTTGTGGACTGCTCAGATGATAATTGTGTTGTTCAAATTAGAAATGATTTAATAATGGACGTTCTCGCTTGAGATAAGGGGGCATAATTTATAGGTAATAACATTGAGCAGGTGGTCCCATGTGACCTCATTGTTTACCTTATAGCATTGTTTTCCTGTACATTCATATGAACTGGTGTGTTGACAAACGTTAGTTTTTGTTGTTAATATGGAATTTAATCCTAATACGTCGAAACCAGGGCTTCCACTGCCGATCATTTTTTCACTGCCGATCATTTTTGATAATGTACGAAAACTTTGCAAAGTAAATTCATATTTCGTGGGGTTTTTTTCATGGTAGGGTATTGTGAATTCACGTGTCTATACCACTTTGTCAGCATGGGGTACACAAAAAAAATTTCCGGCGTGCAAAATGATCTGGTTACGGTCATTTTTCATAGCCCTCAGTCCCGACCGGCATATACGGCCGACGTGGAACCCATGGTCGAAACACTGTTCTCTTACCATCAGTAAGGTCACATGGAACCAAGTTTTTACTAGCTACGCCTGGTGAGAATTTCTTCAGCGAGGTCGCCCATTGTAAACGGTGTATATCAAAATTTATTATTTTGTAGGTTGGAGATTTTGGTTTAGCTAGAGAATATGGTTCACCATTAAAACAGTATACACCGATTGTTGTTACCCTGTGGTACAGAGCACCAGAATTATTATTAGGTTGTAAGGTAAGCGATATTCTCTACCGTCTAATAAAAATATTCTATGAGAAATCAGTGTTGGCTTAGAAAGTTCCTGAAGATTTTTACAGCCTGCTTTTCCCATGTCGGGGGCACAGTGGCTAAGGGAATAAGATGCTGCTCGCTAGCCTGAAGGTTGCGGGTTTGCTGTCGGGGTTGGCCGAGAAAGTTCATAAGGATTATCAACCGTGGTTTCCCCTTGTCAGTGGTGCAGGATGGAGGGCCTGACAAGTACATTAATTAGACATTAATTAACTTACCAAGACCATAATCAACTCTCGATGCCATTTAAAGGATTTGAATACTTTTTGTGATAAATGATTTAATGTAAAAATGGATAATCAAGACTTTGTTTATTGTCGTACCAGCGGTAGTAATGACGATCGAGGCTAGCCGAATTGTATCGCTAATATCCCGGTTCAGAATGAAACAATTTGACTGAAATTTTCAGCATATTCTGTTTTCATTATCTATATTTTAACTATTATAGTGAGAACTGTCAACGCTTTATCAAATCTTACCTAATACCCCTTTAACAAGCAGTAATTAAATTTCTTAGAATTTTAATTTGTATATTCATTATTCCACCATGTGGAGAAAATGGGATGTTTAACCCCATTTCATTCCATTGTGTAGGAATGGTTGTTTATGTAGGTCAGTGGTTGTTTATCTAGGTCAATATGGTTGTTTATAAAGGGACAATATTTATATTTTAAGGAATATTCTACAGCTATAGATTTATGGTCGGTGGGTTGTATATTTGCCGAGTTCCTCACAAAGAAAGCGTTATGGCCAGGTAAATCGGAGATTGACGAGTTAAACAGGATATTTAAGGTAAGTTTTATAGCTACAGTAATAACACACCCTGTACAGCGCCAAACGAAGGAAGGGATATTGAAATGGCCTCAATTCGTCTTTCCATCAAGAATTTATTTTAGGAGTATATCATAAGCGGTAATATATCTTTGTGGGGGGGTAGATGGCCGAATGGTTAGCGTGTGCGTGGTTTATCATAACGTCTGTCATTGAGTTAACTGACGTGGTTTCGATTCCCCTATTTGTACGTGACAAGGAGTAGGGCCGCCTGTTCAACCGAGTGTGTTTTCCCCGGGTCCTCAAGTTTCCTCCCACTGCTAAAGCGTGTGCGCGGTATATCATAACGTCTGTCATTGAGTCAACTGACGTGGTTTCGATTCCCCAGTTGTACGTGACAAGGAGTAGGGCCGCCTGTTCAACCGCGTGTGTTTTCCCCGGGTCCTCAAGTTTCCTCCCACTGCTAAAGACCCCTACGCGCAAGTGAATTATTGAAATAAAATTGAACCATATGTTAGACCCGAAATGATCTAGTTTGTGTCAAGTTGATGTTAAACCTCATCTCTCTCTCTCTCTCTCTCTCTCTCTCTTCATCTCTCTCTCTCTCTCTCTCTCTCTCAATATATCCTTGTAAATTTATTACAGTTGTTGCTTCTCTTGCTAATTAGAAATTTCATTGAGTTATTACTATTTGTGTTTCCATGGACTTAGTTTTTGTACTGGCAATGGCCTAAATATTTTATATCAAAAACATCAAATTGAAAGTATTTATAATCGTTTTATTTTCCTCCCCAGGATTTAGGAACACCGGGTGAGAAGATTTGGCCAGGTGTCGGTGATTTACCAGGAATGAAGAAATGTACATTTACAGATTATCCGTACAATACTATACGTAATAAATTTGGCTCGTATTTATCAGATTTAGGTTTTGACTTGTTGAACAGGTAAGTTTATGAGGAATCCCTTGCAAACTACAATATTGTAAAATTGGAATCTGTAAAAGGATTATCGTGGATTGGTTTGGATAGGCGAATGGTTAGCCCGTGCACGTTCCATCATAAGATCTGTCATTGAATCAACTGGCGTGGTTTTGATTCCGCGCTTGTCATTGACAAGGAGTAGTGTCATCTGTCCAACCTCATGGGTTATCTCCGGGTCCTCCGGTTTTCTCTCACTGCTAAATACCGCTACGCGCAAGTGAATTATTGAAATATTGAACCATATGTTAGTCCCAAAATGACCCAGTTTGTGTCGAGTGGACATTAATTCCCATTTCTCTCTCTGTCTTAATTAAATGTAAAATCTTAGTCCATTTTAGTATGGATTAAAAGCTGTGAATAATTAGATACTGTCTCAAAAAGATGCTGATTTTAATTGTCTCCTACTTACTCCAACAGTCTCCCGCAAAAACAGTTAATTTGTGAAAATCTTGTTAGTACTCACAACGACAAAAGTTATACGATCTGTATGAAATATATGTGCATTATTAAGATGAAGAAGCCTATTGAATTAAAACAATTTCCATTGATCACCTCTTGTGTTGGGTGAATGTTGTGGGTATATGCTTACTGCGTGCCAACCTATATTTTTTTTTCATCTTGATGTCAGAGTCATCAATTGAACATAACATGCTTCCCATTTTTTGATTTGCAGGTTTCTAACGTACAGTCCCACCAGACGCATATCAGCAGAGGACGCTCTCAAGCATACTTACTTCACGGAGTCGCCACTCCCTGTAGATCCGTCCATGTTTCCCACGTGGCCGGCGAAAAGTGAGCAACCACGAAAACATGTCAGTTCACCGAAACCACCATCGGGAGGAAAAGCTTATTCACGATTAGTGGTAAGTAGACTAACATGTTGATAAAACATTGAACCGCGGAGCTGTAGTCTCGGTCACCCAGAACTGTTGTCAATATTTGACGAAAAGTTCCATTGCTCATGGTAACCATGAGTTTGGTTTTTTAAGTGGTTGATTATCCAGTATCTTTGGCTAAGTCAAGTAAGGGTTGCGCCCCTTCCCACAATAAATCCCATATTTCTAGAATTTATGTCAGTGATTCTCAACCAGTGTGCCACGAGATCTTCCTAAGTGTGCCGCGAAATTTTGAACGGCACACTAAGAAAATTTCTCACTAAAGAAGCCAGCTATTTGACTGAGTAAGTCCATAGCTGTGTTTTTCTATATTTAGTTTGAGTCACTCTATGTCTCTATGACTAGTCTCTGTCTACGGTTGTATACCGTCTATGACTTGCCATGTTTTTATTTTGCAAAATTCAAATATTTTTCATATATATTTAGCCAGGTGTGCCGCTATTTATTTCATGTGTTCCAAGGTGTGCCGTTGGCAAAAAAGGTTGATAACCACTGATTTATATAAACAAACGCGTGTGTGCGCTGTATTAAAAGGGCTGTCATTGAGTCAACTGGCATTGTTTTGATTCCCCGATTGTACGTGACAAGGAGTTAGGGTCGCCTGTCCAACCACGCGGGTTTTCTCCTGGTCCTCCGGTTTCCTCCCACTGCTAAAGACCAGTATGCTCAATCAAATTATTGTAATAAAATTGAACCATGTGTTAGTCCCGAAATGAACTATTTTATGTCGAGTGGACTTAAACCCCATCTCTCTCTCTCTGCAGGACGGAGGGCCTGACAAGGACAGCTGTCTAATTGTTCGGATGGGACGAAAAACTGAGGTCCTGTGTACACATTGGTGTGCATGTAAAAGATCCCTTGACAGTTGGAATTCGATAGAAGAGTAGGCCGTAGTCCCGCTGTCCGGGCAAAATTTCCCTCATAGCACACTGTATGGTGTATGCCTGTCTTCATTAGCCCAGTTCAGAGCAGAACAGTAGGACATTAAACCCCATTTCATTTTATTTCTCTCTCTCTCTCTCTGTGGATGGAGAGTGTACTATAATAGAATATTTTTATTATTTTCAGAGTGAAGAATGTGATCTGGGTTTTCACATGTCAACAGCAGCTAAAGGTGCTAGTGCTATGGGTGCTCCAGGATTTACTCTCAAGTTTTAAAAATACATTTCTTGTGGACCATCGCAAACTTTCCCTCATAACTCACTGTATGGCGTAAACCCAGCTTCATTAGCCCAGTTGAAGCAGAACAGTACGACGTTAAACCCTGTTTCATTTAATATTAATCGAATAATCATGGAACTGGGTTGAATGAAACTGTGGATAGAAAATAATAAATGAAATGTCAGTTATTATTTAATATTGAATCAAGAAGGAAAATATTTCAGTGTTTTCTTTCTCCGATGGCATGGGTGAGAAAGTCGGTGGGTCGTTGGGTGGGTGAGTTGCGATCTATCTGTGGTTTATTATTTGATTGGACGCATGTGTTGCAATTTTGAGATTGTCCCTGACATGAAGAGAAAAGAGGAAAAAATATACATAAATCTATGGATTTTAATCTTGTCCCGAGTTCACGAAACATTCTCAGATTTAAGTTAAGAATTAAGTCAACTTCCAATCACTGTTTATGAGAAATATCTTTGATCCAGAATTACAAAACTTTGCACATAGTTTGTTATTGTTATTTGATACATTAAAATAATAAAAGTTTTATAAAGGGCTATATTAATATTGGAGAAATCTGATGCCATTGAGAGTTGATTATGGCCAAGATCAGTTAATTAATGTCTAATTAATAATTTAGAAAATATTTCAGGCCAAAAGAAAGACCTGCAAATAGGCATATTTATGTTTAAGGCTGAGAATGCTTTGTGAACTTGGGGGCCTTGCGACTGTCCCTTACAAGTGAAAAAAAAACTATATAAATCTGTGCATTATAATCACTTTAAATGCCATTTCCATCTGTACATAATGTAATAATTAACCATAAATCATGAAATAAATCAGTATATTATTAGATAGATGTTATTAATTCTTTAATTAAAATCTGGGGGGTTGGGTGGCCAAATGCACTTTAGACCAAAAGGTCTGTCATTGAGTCAAGCAGCATGGTTTCGAATCACAGCTTGTACATGACAAGGACTAGGGACGCCTGTCTGACCTTGTGTGGGTTTTCTTCTGTTTCCTCCCACTTCACAATAAAATTGAACCAGAAATGACCTAGTTTGGTAATTAGCCCCCCCCCCCTTTCTCTATCTCTCTCTCTCTTGGACATCTAGTCATTCGGATGGGATGAAAAAAACCCCAACAAGGCCCATATGTATACACGCTAGTCAGTAGCATCCTGCACAACTTCTGAGTCGTGGTAAGTTGACAAAAGGACCTAGTTGTTAGGATGATACGACAATCTGAGATCCACCTATGTGCTCATTGGTGTGCACGTAAAAGATCTCTTTATAGTTGGTACCTGAGTAGGGGGATACACTGTCTTGGCTAAATTTTCCTTATAACACACTACATGGTGTAAAGATCCCTTGACAGTTGGGGGGTTGGATGGCTGAATGGTTAGCGTGCGCTGTATCATAAAGTCTGTCATTGAGTCGACTGGCGTGGTTTCGAATCCCCGGTTGTACGTGGCAAGGAGTAGGGTCGCCTGTCCAACCTCTGGGGTTTTCTCCGGTTTCCTCCCACTGCTAAAGACCCCTACGCGCAAGCGAATTATGTAAATAAAATTAAACCATATGTTAGTCCCGAAATGACCTAGTTTGTGTTGAGTGAACGTTAAACCCCATTTCTCTCTCTCTCTCCCTTGACAGTTGGAATTTGATGTAAGAGTAAGCCGTAGTGCCGCTGTGCACGTAAAAGATCTCTTTATAGTTGGTACCTGAGGAGGGGGATACACTGTCTTGGCTAAAGATCCCTTGACAGTTGGAATTCAATATAAGAGTAGGCCGTAGTGCCGCTGTCCAGGCAAAATTTCCCTCATTAGCCCAGTTCGGAGCAGAACAGATTGACGTTAAACCCATTTCATTAGCCCAGTTGGTAGAGAACAGTAGGATGTCAAATCCCATTTTATTGTTTCAGAAGTAGGATTAGGTTTTCAAAACAAAAAACACAAGGTATATTATGGATAGAAATATTTCTCTGATATTTATTAACGACTTTTTCTAACAGGTGATACAATAAAGGTGATATCAATTGATTTTTTGTTCTTTATGGTCTAGATAAATAAAAAGCCAAATGAATCAGATGAAAGATGTTGTGTTTAAAGTTCAAAATTTAAAAATTTGGAACTAAGAGCTTTTGAATAGTGCAAAAAAGTACCCTTGTTTTTTTTTTAAATTTTATTTTTCCTGAAGATATAAGAAGAAAAATTTTAACAGGTATTTTTAAAGAACAGAAAATCATTTTGTTGTGGCCTAAGGTGTATCAAGTCAAAATGAAGGGGGGTGGATGGCCGAATGAACGGAAGAAGAAAAGGAAAGACAAAAACAAATAGAAATGAGAGCAAGAGAAGATAGACAGAGAAAAGAAGAAATAAAAAAGAAAAATGGAAGAAAAGAGATTGCAAGCTGCAAGACATGAGGGTATATTAATTTCCTCACTTATATAAGGAAGAGGGGGTGCCGAATGGTTGGCGTGTGCGCATTGTATCATAAGGTCTGTCATTGAGTCAACTGGCGTGGTTTTGATTCCCCAGTTGTGTGTGACGAGGAGTAGGGTCGCCTGTCCAACCTTTTGTGTTTTCTCTGAGTCCTCCGGTTTCCTCACACTGCTAAAGACCCCTATGCGCGAGCAAATTATTGAAGTAAAATTGAACACATGTTAGTTCTGAAATGACCTAGTTGGTGTCCAGTGGACATTAAACACTCTCTCTCTCTCTCTCTCTCTCTCTCTCTCAGGACTGAAGGAAATATTCCAGATTCCCAGTAGACTATAAGAAAAAAAATCTTATGAAAAAGGAACAGTAAGACGTTAAACCCCATTTCATTTCATTTCTTATGAAAATATAAAATTTTCCCCAGAAATATCCAAAGGAACAACAAATCTGGCAAATTTTGGTGGGAGTTTGGAATTAACCACAGACACTTGAAGGGATTAAAATAAAACTTCTTACTACTGCTTGACTTTATATTAAGATAAATAGTCAAGCAGTAGTAAGAAGTTTTATTTTAATCCCTTCAATTGCCTGTGGAATTAACATATGAATTTCCTTGAAGTCAGCATATTTATACCTATATTGGTTAACAGTAACAATAATTTATAGTGATAATTATAAACAATTATAACATACAATAATAACCTCATTATTATAATTTATAGTGATAATTATATACAGTTATAATAACATACAATAATAACCTCATTATTATAATTTTGTTAGAGTTGAATCTAAAAGAAACATCTATCTGAAAATTGTTCAATTCCATTCAGTATTTACAAAGATATAGTGAATTGAAATTTGGCAGACGATATAATAGTCAATCCAACCAACGCGAGCTATGAGTTTCTCTGAAATCGCAGGGTTTTTTTTATTAAATGTTATATAGTCAACTTTGAGTCCATTTTAGAGTGAGTTTCATGTTTTCTGAAAAAATTCAAATGACACAGACTTAAAAGTTACAATGTATTTTTTGCTTAAATATTAAATTTATCACAGCTTTGATTCAGTCAGATTTAAAATAGGCCTATTAATAATAATAATAATGTACATTTATATAGCGCTTAATCCATCCATGAGCATGCTCTAAGCGCTGTAAGTTAATGGCTTCTGTGGATAATACATCGTGAACATATGCGTCTTAAGTCTAGATCGAGATTGAGCAACTGTTTCTGAACACTTTATTTTGTCAGGTAAGTCATTCCATAGTCCACCCACAACAAAATGGTGAGGTCTTATTACATAGGGAGCAATATAGAGCGATGAAATTTCAATTCAACCTATCTTTGTAGAAACAGAAGAAATTGAACCATTTTCAATCTTATTAAAATACAGATCTATTTTTTATATTTTCGATGGCCTCCACTACATGAAAATCTGACCAGTTGTAGTCATACGAGCGGCTTTTTGCCCTATCATGTCAGACATTTGACTAACCAATCTGCGTTGCCAACAGTTCCATGCAAACACTCCTAAAACTTGCCGTTACAGACCGTTTCATTGGCTAGGGGAAGATAGATCTAAGTCACATTTTTGTCTTTTTGCATAAAAGGCAAAACAGACTTTTGGACGAGAATGCTTGACGCGAACAGAACAACGAATGGGTTAAATTACAACTTCAAAATGATGTTTAATACGAATCATAATTACCAGTACAACAACGGACTTCCACTTTTCAGTCAAATTAAGGTCAAATAAAGAGTATGATGGACATATTTGTCCGGGAGGCCATTTCAGAAGGGCCTTGGTTCGATGTGACTCTGATCGTTTTTACCTAAAATTGATTGTTCCACAGAAAGCTTATACAATTTGCTACCAGATGGCGCCATTAAATGGGGTTCATTGAAAAAGTGTCTTAGATCGTTCTTCCCCGGGGCTCTTCATTTGCTTCTCTACCAACATGTCTGACTTTTACTTTGTGTGAAACAACCGTGAAAAGTTAATGGCATGATTTTATTTTCTGGCAGTGGTGCGCGGGCCAGTTCTGTCATGGTCTCGGCATCAAGAACAAGTATATATGATTTTCTTCCCGGTTGGTGGGCCATGACTAGAGTCAACAAAACACCTGGAAAAAAAGAAAATAACAATAAAATAACAGATATTGCTAAATTAATGTTTATAAACTAGAAACTGGTCACCTGTCTTCGACAGAATCGATCCATCTATTTCATAAACCTCTGCCCTGAATGGCCGCCATATTAAAAAATTAGTACACTGTTTTTTTAATGCGGTTCTACTCCCTTTCACATCTGTCATACACAAAAGGGAGAGAGAGAGAGAAATGGGGTTTAACGTCCACTCGACACAACTAGGTCATTTCGGGACTAACATATGGTTTAATTTTATTTCAATAATTCGCTTGCGCATAGGGGTCTTTAGCAGTGGGAGGAAACCGGAGGACCCGGAGAAAACCCACGAGGTTGGACAGGCGACCCTACTCCTTGTCACGTACAACCGGGGATTCGAAACCACGTCAGTCGACTCAATGACAGACTTTATGATACAGCGCGCGCACGCTAACCATTCAGCCATCCAACCCCCCCATACACATAAAGACTAAATAAACTTCTTCAATTTTATTAAATGGAAGCAGAATTAATAATTCTCAAAATTCTCGATTTAAGACTTAAAATGTCAGTCAACAAGCTTAGTGTCTGGTCTAAAGTGGAGCTAACTGTAGATAGACTAAGTTTAGTATGCAGTAGAATTGGAACCATAGTGGCTAAGTGAGTAAGATGATTCCTGCTGGCCTAGAGGTTTGAGGCTTCGCTCCCAGTGTTAGCCGAGAAAATTTATCGGAATTTTTAAGCGTGGATTCCCCTTGTCAGTGGTGCCGGTTGGAGGGTCTGACAAGGACAGCTGTCTAGTCGTTTAGATGGTAGAAACACATAGGTCCTATGTACACATTGGCATGCACCTAAAAGATTTTTCTGTGTGGTTCCCCCTTGTCAGTGATGCAGGACACAGGGCCTGACAAGGACAGCTGTCTGGTTGTTCGGATGGGACAAAACAGCAAGGTCCCATGTACACATTGGTGTGCATGTAAAAGATCTCTTGACAGTTGGAATCCAATATAAGAATAGGCCGTAGCGCTTCTGTCAGGTCAAAATTTCCCTCATAGCACACTGTATGGTGTATGTCCATTTTCATTAGCCCAGTTGGAGTAGCACAGTAGGACGTTAAACCCTATTTCATTTTATTTCACCAGAATGTCTGATCTTGCTTTAACTCGGTACATCTTATCAAGATGTCCCCAAGCAATAGTCATCTTAGTGTTGAATCTTCATGGGGGCGACACGTTTTGAAAAAAGCCTAAAACTCTGCCAATTCAAGCACAAACAACATGGAACTTGGCATGCTTATATTGTTCATTGGACAATTGTACATCGATTTACAGGCTTTGATATGACGTCACAATTTAAAGATGGCTGCAATCTTAGCAATAGGAGGTACCCAGAAAACTTGGAAAAACCAACGAGGTTGGACAGTCCATCCTACTCCCTGCCACGTACTTTGGCATCAATAACAGATCTGATGAAGAAAAGCACACGTAAGACCCCCTCGTCCACCCATATTATGGTATAGCCTACCTTCATCTTCTTTGGTTGAACCAGGTTTTGGTATAAAGAAAGATTCTCCTGGTTCATTGCCAGCATCAACATCGTTATATTCTTTCACTGTTCTTGATTTTAAATCTAGCTTTTTTATCTAAAAATAAAGTGAATTCAATAAAATTTCATTTGTTAGTCCTATATTTCAAAATTGTCAAATTGGATTGGAGAATTGCGTGTACCAGAACATTCCGAATTGACAGAATTATCACCAGAGTTCTGCCAGAGTTCATCTTTCTTGGTAACTGATTTGATGTAGTGCAGGAGACAAGCCTATAAACAGGACAATCTCATTTCTTCCAATACAAATACAGAGTTTATTTGAAACCGGTGGCAATCTGATTACAATACAGATCTATATTTCGTTTCGTTTTTTATACTTTCGATGGCTAACACTACACGAAGATCTTATGACATCATACATTTGATTAACCAATCTGCATTGATGTTATTAGTGGATTACCCACAGTTCCGTGCAAAACATGCCTAAAGCTTGCCGTAAAGGCCGTTTCATTGGCTAGTAGCTCACATCATTCAGAACACGTCAATGATAACAACTCTTCTTCCAGATCCTAGTGTAGTAAAGACAAGTAAAACAAAACTTTGAACTATAAAAACGAAACGAAATAGGATCTGTGTTTTAACCAGGTTGATAAACGGGAAAGAATATACACAATAAACAACAGATATCAGATCAAGTGAATACATCTAGAGGCTGGTCGTAAGTTTCCCCTGCACGCTGTAGGGGGGTTGGATGGCTGAATGGTTAGCGTGCACGCGCTGTATCATAAAGTCTGTCATTGAGTCGACTGGCGTGGTTTCGAATCCCCGGTTGTACGTGGCAAGGAGTAGGGTCACCTGTTCAACCTCGTGGGTTTTCTCCGGGTCCTCCGGTTTCCTCCCACTGCTAAAGACCCCTACGCGCAAGCGAATTATTGAAATAAAATTAAACCATATGTTAGTTCCCAAATGACCTGGTTTGTGTCGAGTGGACGTTAAACCCCATTTCTCTCTCTCTGCACGCTGTATAGTACCGTGCCGGTAAGTAGAATCGTGATGCTGTCAAACACTGCTGAAAACATGTTCACTGTCAGACTACCATGAATGAGAGAGAGTGAAAGATAGAGAGAGAGTTTAAATTTCACTTAACACAAACTAGGTCATTTCGGGACTAACATGGTTCAATTTTATTTCAAGAATTCGCTTGTGCACAGGGGTCTTTAATAGTGGGAGGAAACCGGAGGACCCCGAGTAAACCCAAGAGGTTGGACAGGCGACCCTAGTCTTTGTCACGTACATCCGGGGAATATCATGAATTAACTTCTTACTATAGGTACAATAAAATGGATGGATGAGCCCCTGGTATACTGCAAGTACAGTAAGAATGGATATCAGGTTGCACTGTTCAGGGTGGAAAAGAAAAAACCCTTTGAATAAACCGCAGGTAATCTATGGATTGTTTGAAGAATTTTTTTCTTTTCCACCCCAAACAGTGCGACTTGATATCCATTCCGCAAGAAACAAACTTGACATGACTGTGTTGAATCTGAAGTGGTTTACAACAGTAGGAGTCAAGGTGGATAAGTGATTAAGGTGCCGGCTCACTAACTAGGAAGTCTGGGGTTTGATCACAATGTTGACCAAAACTGATCCTCTGGATATTTTTAGCTCAATTTCCCCTGTGTCAACGGTGTATCCAGGTCGAGGGTCTGGCAAACCAAAGTTCTTTGTAAACATCAACATGCACCTAAAATCTGGATGAACTTTCTCTGTCAACACCAGGATCGAACACAAAACCTCCAGGTTAGCGAGCCAACATCCTACGCACTGAGGCACTGCAGCTCCCAGTTGGAAGATTAAGTTCTGTTTAAGACAAAATTCGGGGGGGTTGGATGGCCGAAGGGTTAGCAAGCGAGCGCTGTATCATAAGGCCTGTCATTGAGTCAACTGGCATGGTTTTGAATCCCCGGTTGTACGTGACAAGGAGTAGGGTTGCCTGTCCAACCTCAGGGGTTTTCTCCGGGTCCTCCTGTTTCCTCCCATTGCTAAAGACCCCTATGCGCAAGCGTATTATTGAAATAAAATTAAAACCATATGTTAGTCCAGAAATGACCTAGTCTGTGTCGAGTTGACGTTAAACTCCATTTCTCTCTCTCCCTGTTTAAGACAAAATTCAACTCTGACTACTTGTAGTTATTGTTATTAAGCATATTAAAATATCTCGTATTCAATTCTTATTACGGTGGCTAAGTGGGTAAGACGCTGGCTCGCTAGCCTGCAAGGTCGGGTGTTCGATCCCTGCATTGGCCGAGAAAGTTCATCCAGATTTTCCAGCGTGGTTCCCCCTTGTCAGTGATGCAGGTTGGACTGCTGACATGGACTGCTGTCTAGTCGTTCGGATGGGATGAAAAATCGAGGTCCTGTGTACACATTGGCGTGCACGTAAAAGATTCCTTGACAGTTGGAATTCGATATAAGAGTAGGTCGTAGTGCCGCTGCCCGGGAAAAATTTCCCTCAAAGCACACTGTATGGTGTATGCCCGTCTTCATTAGCCCAGTTCGGAGTAGAATAGTAGGACGTTAAACCCCATCACATTTCATTCTTACCATGTTTTTCTCTGTGAATATGCTAGCTCCGTAGACATACTGGTATTTCTTTCCATTGTAGCTTTCATAATTTATCTTGGGTAATTCCATCATGATGCCACCTGAATCTGATAAATAAAAAAAAGATATAGTAATTTATCTTGGATAATACCATCATCATGCCATCTGAATCTGATAAATAATAAAGATATATAGAGAATCTCTTACGAGTCTTTTTTGATATCAAAAAATATCAACACAAGTTAATAAAGTAATAAAAAACGAGGCTCTGCCTATCAAAAAAGACGAGTAGGAGATTTTATTTATCACCCAATCCTTTCTTACATGCACAAATAGGTAATATAATTCTTCAATTTTACTGAACCTGATTACATTACGGCGTAGTGATACATCAATGACAGCAATTCAACCATTGCAAAGTTCTTTATATTGACCCAGTGTTTCCATCAAGGTCAATTGAATAACAAAAGTTCATTTTTAATATAAAAAAAGTTACTTTTAATAAAAAAAAAAGTTACTTTTAATAAGAAATGAACTGTTCTTTGAAAATAAAAAAAAAGTAGTTCCTTTTCAACTGAACAATCAAATTCATGTAAAGTAATATCTCCTAAGGAGATATCGCAGTAGATTATGAAATATATATCACACAAGCGATATCTACTGTAGAACGTATTATTGGGTGATAAACTTCTTTATCTTGGGCAATTCCATCATGATACCATCTGATGTAACATGATATCCAGATTTAAATTAAAAACAAATTTAAAGGAAACGCAGTGGAGATGGACAACGGTGGTCGCGCCCGACATTGCTGCTCAGAAGAGATGCAAAATCAAATCCCCTGTTCTCTTTAAAAGAAGTAACATATATATTAAGTGCAAGAGGACCACAAGACAAATACGTGGACACTACACAGAATATATAAAATAAATGATCTGAAAAGGTCATAAGAAGAACTGTTCGACGATTGGGATGGAAGCTGTAGGAGTGGAGACATTGTCTGGGGTTCAAGACAAGACAGAATATAGACATAGCAAAATATAAACAAATCACGTGAATTGATCCAGGGGCCAACCCTAAGAGTTAATTGCGCTGTACAGTCCAAGGCCTGTTATGGTACAGGCACCATTTAAAATGAAAAAAACCCCAAATGATTTCCAAAAAAGACGTAACAGAATAATGCGACCGATCTTGACAGTGATGATACTTGGTAAGGGACATGTAAAATTTGACACAAACCAGGGTCTCCCGGTAACAATAAAGTTGGCTTGCCACTGAGGAAATGGATATGGTAATAATATGCAACATTCCAGGGCTCAAAAAGGCAGAAATATTTTGGGGCAATATTTCACTGCCTTGGCACAATTCTCCATTCTAACACCACAGTACAAAAGGTCAGTCGAAAATTGACTATCTATCTTTTAATAAAAGTTTACCTTCACTGTAAAGATCAGGCGTACAAAAAACACTTCCATCACTTTGTAAAACTGCTGTAGCTTTTGTATCGAGAGTGATTAGATTATTGTTTACTTCCGCCTGTAAATTAAAACAATCCGACAGATGATTAAATACAATCTTAATACAGACAGTTAATTAAATATACTGATAGTTAAATATAACTTTTAACATATCTCTGATAGTTAAATATAAATAAATATATCCCTGACTGTTAAATACAAACCGATATATCCCTGACAGTTAAATATAAACAGATATACCCTGGACTGTTCAATATAACTTTAAAAATATCTCTGTATAAAAGTTTATTTAGTTTTATTGCACTCTATACTAATATCACTTCCCCAGCAACAAAATGAACACATAAATAGGAGTTCGGGTTGGGGAGAAGATAAGGCCAGTCAGGGAGGAGATCAAGTTGGATGGGGAGGAGTTGTGGTCTTTGGGAGAGGAGTTCAGGTTGGCTGGAGAGATCAGATCGGTTGGGGAGGAATTCAGGTCGGTTGGGGTGGAGATCAGGTTGGGTAGGGAGGAGTTTAGGTCCTTGGGAAAGGAGTTCAAATCTTTGGGAGAGGAGTTGAGATTGGTTGGGGAGGAGATCAGGTTGGCTGGGGAGGAGATCGGGTTGGTTGGGGAGGAGATGAGGTTGGTCGGGGAGGAGATCAGGTTGGTTGGGGAGGAGATGAGGTTGGTCGGGGAGGAGATGAGGTTGGTCGGGGAGGAGATTAAGCTGGATGGGGAGGAGTTCAGGTTGGTTTAAGATTCATAAAAAATAAGGTATTTCATCAAAGATGTAATTTGCTCAGTTGATAATCCTATCAGGACAGTCACAGCTACAGTCTACTGAGTTCAGTCGACAGACGTATGATTAATACAGTTTAATCATCAGTAGTCAAACATCATACATAAAAATAACATTTTATACACGGTCAGGGGTGACAACAGCTACCTACATACCCAATGACATATATATAGTCAGGGGTGACATCACCCTATATACCCAATGATCTGATAGACACTCATCAACCGACATATATATAGTCACAATAGTCAAGGGTGACGACATCTCCCTACATACCCAATGATCTGATAGACACAGCCTACTCTTTTTTCATTTTAACAAGCTGCCAATGGTATAAATGAAACCTGTTTTTTTTTTTTTTGTTCAATCCAAAAAACTAGACAACTTTCCTTGCTTGGCCATACATCCTATACCACTGATAAGGGCGTTGGGTGGCCGAATGGTTGAACCCCATCTCTCTCTCTCTCTCTCTCTCTCTACCACTGAAAAGGAGGGGATTGGATGGCTGAATGGTTAGCACGTGCGTGCTGTATCATAAAGTCTGTCACTTAGTCAGTTTTGATTCACGGTTGTACGTGACAAGGAGTAGGGTCACCTGTCTAACCTCGTGGGCTTTCTACGGGTCCTCCGGTTTCCTCCCACTGCTGAAGAGCTCTATGCGGAAGCAAATTATTAAAATAAACTAGAACCATATATTAGTTTCGAAATGACCTTGTTTGTGTCGACTGGATGTTAAACCCCATTGCTCTTTACTTTTATACCACTGGCAAGAAAATATCATAAGGAACTTCCAGATCCCAAGTTGACTATATAAGAAACAAAATCTTAAGAAACTTTAAGTAAAACTTACCCCAGAGATATCCAAAGGAACAACAAATCTGGCAAATTTTGGAGGGTGTTTGGAATTAAAATATGAATTCCCTTGAAGACTGTCAAGATAAAGTTTTTTCATGTAATCCAAGTCTTTATAAATAGTCATATCAATAACCATCTGGTCCTCTTCTTCATAACAATTACAAAAATGAAACGCGAAAAATGGGTCCATGGTGTATTTTGTTTCAATCCTTGTTCCGTCTTTTTTAACAATATGAAACCGAGTCTGAAAAAATAAAGACAATAATGTGAGTGATATGGTATAGGCTAAATATTATTTCAATAATTTACAATGAATGAAAATGAAATGGGGTTTGATGTTCTATTTTTCTGCTCCAATAATCTAATGAAGATGAAAATACGCTGTGTTGTGTACTAGGAGAGAAATTTGTCCGGACAACATCTGAATTCCAGCTGTTCCATCCAAACGACTAGGGCTCCTCCTTGCCAGGCCCTCCGTCCTGTACCACTTGCCAGGCCCTCCGTCCTATACCACTTGCCAGGTCCTCCGTACTATACCACTTGCCAGGCCCTCCGTCCTATACCAATTGCCAGGCCCTCCGTCCTGTACCATTTAAAGACAAATCATGCCTAAAATAACCAAGGAGCTATCTCGATCAATAGAATTTCAAAGATTTAAACCTTACAAAACACAACAATTTTATAGAAGTTTTATGTGTAAAAATGCAAAAAAACAAATTGGTATAATGCTAAAAATTGTCATATTTCTTAATCCAAATTCATTTTTTATGTCCCCCCATACTGACAAAGTGATATAGATAGCCATATGAATTCACAATATTGTACCGCAAATTAAAACCATGAAATATGAAATCAATTTGCAATGTTTCCGTACACTATCAAAAATGACCGACTGACAAAATTTTGATATGGAAACCTTGCATATACAAAATAGTTTTAGAATTTAAGAGAGAGAGAAATGGGGTTTAACATCCACTTGACACAAACTAGGTCATTTCGGGACTAACACATGATTCAATTTTAGTTCGTCTTTAGCAGTGGGAGGAAACCTGAGGATCGGGAGAAAACTCACACGGTACAACTGGGGAATCGAAACCATGTCAGTTGACTCAATGACAGTCTGATACAATGCACACATGCTAACCATTCCCCCCCCCCCCATTTGTAGAAGAAAAGAAGTTAATATCAAAGGCCTAGCTAATATTCACTGCTGATCAGTGTGATGTCATCTCTATCAGTGATTTTAGTGGTCCAGTGAATATTCACTGTTGGTCAGTTTGCATTCTGCCGTCAACCGAATAAAAATTAAAAAAACAAATAAAATAATTGTTACCTTTTCTTTAGGGTAACTAACTAAAGACTTTTCTGAGGTGTTGCCAGCCAACTTTTTAATAAACACACGACCAAGGCTAATCACAAATGGCTGCTCCAAAATAACGAAATAATTCTCTGACATCCCAAAACTATGATTATAACTGATTTTCCATTTCCATCTGGATGGAGCAGACGCCACAATTTTTGAATTCTCCATATCAAGTCCACCTGATTCAAAATTAAAATCATTTTTAAGATGATGAATAAAAGTTTCATTTGTTTTATAATTTTCATGATTTGAGAAAACAAGAGCCCACATTCCCGTCAACAATCACATGCCCTAACCCTATTTATATCTCGCCGCTGTATGTGGCCTTAAATGAAATGAAATGAAATGGGATTTAACGTCCTACTGTTCTGCTCCAACTCGGCTAATGAAGACGAGCATACGCCCTACAGAATTCTCAGGGCAGTGGCACTATGACCTACTCTTATATCGAATTCCAACTGCCAAGGGATCTTTTACGTGCACGCTAATGTATACACAGCACCTCATTTTTTTGCCCCATCCGAAAGACTAGGCAGCTGCCCTTGTCAGGCCCTCTGTCCTACACCACTGACAAGAGGAAACAACGTTGGAATATCCTGATGAATTATCGTGGCCAATGCAGGGATCGAACATGGATGTGACCTCCAGACCAGCGACCCAGCATCTTACCCACTTAGCCACTGTGGCTCCCCAGGTGGCCTTAATATTTAGAACTGACCATGAACACACACAATATGCTATGAGGGATTTATCTTATGGAAAGCGGTATTCCAACTGTCAAGGGATCTTTTATGTGCAGATGCCAATGTGTACAGGGGTGAACCGCAGAATCGTCAAGCCTGCTTTCCCATTGTCAGTGGTGCAATACAAAAGGCCTGACAAGCCCCTTACTCGTTCGAATGCTATGGCCTATCCTTATTTCGATTCCAACTGTCAAGGGATCTTTTACCTGCACACCTATAAAATGAGGTTTAATATCCTACTGTTCTGCTCCGACTGGGCTAATGAAGATGGGCATACGCCATACTGTCTGCAATGAGGGAAATTTTGCCCAGGCAGCAGCATTAAGGCCTACCCTTATATCGAATTCTAACTGTCAAGGGATCTTTCACGTGCACGCCAATGTGTGAACTGGGATGAATACAAGGATATAGATATATAATAAAACAGTAGGCCTACCATCTGCTTTAGCTGGTATCTTTATAATGTTGTAGGCCATTTTCGATTTGAGGTTAGTTCCAAGGTTATAGATGGAACCATCTTTATCTTGATGTGGATGAGCAGTAGCCGCATGTACTGCTACATAGTTCTCATAATTAATCTGAAATTATCACAGAATTCATTCATTAATCATGACATTGTTCAATCTTTTTACGGCCATGCCAGGCCAGGCAAACTCTTGGACTTACTGCCCAAAACCCCTGTAACTAGTACTTCTTAGAGAATAGAGAGAGAGAGAAATGGGGTTTAACGTCCACTCGACACAAACTAGGTCATTTCGGGACTAACATAAGGTTTAATTTTATTTCCATAATTCGCTTGCGCATAGGGGTCTTTAGCAGTGGGAGGAAACCGGAGGACCCGGAGAAAACCCACGAGGTTGGACAGGCGACCCTACTCCTTGTCACGTACAACCGGGGATTCGAAACCACGCCAGTCGACTCATCGACAGACTTTATGATACAGCTCGCGCACGCTAACCATTCAGCCATCCAACCCCCCCTTAGAGAATAGCTTTGCGGTAGTCTAGGAGGGATTACCCCGGGTCGAATTAGGGGAGGGGGAACTTATTGGCTGCAGCCAAGAGAGGCCCTTATATTAAAGGGGCCCACAAAGTATTTCTAAAATTCTAAAAAATTATGTTATGTATAATTTTATTTATTATGTTTGTGCCAAATAAATCTATCTATCTACCACATTAACAAACTGCTTTGGTGTGAGTGTGACCAGAATATTCCCCTTTTCCACCGTTGATGCAAAGAGCCCCAGTGACATTTTCAGCCAGGGGCCCAATTAAAACTTAATTCGGCCCGGGATGTACCGGAATGAACTACACTACTTTTCTGTAATTTTCCCCCATGGAACTATAAAATGAAATGAAATGGGGTTTAACGTCCTACTGTTTTGCTCCTATACTGGGCTAATGAAGACGGGCATACGCCATACAGTGTGCTACGAGGGAAATTTTGCCCGGGCAGCGGCATGGCTAGTCAATATTAACATGCACCAAATGCTAAAGGATTAATTATGTTTTAATTACTTCAAATCAGATTAATGGGGGGGGGGAGCCAAATGGTTAGCGTGTGCGCATTGTATCATAAGGTTTGTCATTGAGTCAATTGGCGTGGTTCTGATTCCCGGTTGTACGTGACAAAGTGTAGGATCGCCTGTCCAACCTAACATGTTTCCTTCGGGTCCTCCGGTTTCCTCCCACAACTAAACCCTCCTACGCGCAAGCGAATTATTGAAATAAAATTGAACCATGTGTTAGTCTCTTAATTACCTGGTTTGTGTCAAGTGGATGTTAAACCCCATTTCTCTCTCAAATCTGATTAAAATTAGGCTACAATATATCCTCTGACATAAATGACAACGAAATGAAATGAAATGAAATGGGGTTTAACGTCCTTCTGTTCTGCTCCTATACTGGGCTAATGAAGATGGGCATACGCCATACAGTGTGCTATGAGGGACATTTTGCCCGGGCAGTGGCACTATCGCCTACTCTTATATCGAATTCCAACTGCCAGGGGATCTTTTACATGCATTCCAATATATACACAGGACCTCGGTTTTTCGTTTCATCCGAAGGACTAGACAGCTGTCCTAAATGACAACGAGAGAGAGAGAGAGAAATGGGGTTTAACGTCCACTCAACACAAACTAGGTCATTTGCTTGTGTGTAGGGGTCTTTAGCACTGGGAGGAAACCGGAGAACCCGGAGAAAACCCACGAGGTTGGAGAGAAATGACAATGAACTATAGAATGTTACATCTTTATATTACATAAATATTTAAGGGATAAATAGTGTTGAATAATGAAATGGCGTTTAATGTCCTACTTTTCTGCACCAACCTGGTTAAAATCTCCTATCATTATTGCCAATCTGTTTCACATAGTATTACGAAATGTTTCTATGAAACAGATTGAACCGAAACAAGATGGCCGTGTCAATTGAATCACACAATGAATTCAAATCACAAAAGGATTTTAACTATATGAGTCGTCACTTGTCCTGTCTTGGCATGCTGACAAAATAGTGATCACCAGTTCTACTGTTTACTGTTGTAACAGCGGTCCCTGATTTTCATTTGGCCGTCTGATATACTCTTCCATTTCAGACCATGTAAAAACACAATGGTATGCAAAAACTTTGGCAACACGGATACAGGCCCTTCCACTTCCATAGCTTTACAACATTTATCAATATTATTTGAATGACAGTAATTTTGCGACATTCCACATGGTTTTCATCACGACCAGCCTTTTTCAGCTTATACCCACAATATTAAAATGTCCAATATCCTTATTTTCTGGATGACGGTGGGCAGTTCAGTATCTAACGGTTCACTGCATATTGGAATTTGCCATGCGATAAGGAATTTAATTTCAATTGATAAGAACATTATGTTACAATATTCAAATTAATTTGAAATGCAGTAATATAAAAATCAACAAGCCAACAGTGAGGCTGATGTCCCCCGCCGAAATAGGAAAATAATTAGAGGACACATATAAATTTATCACAAATTATCTTTTACAAAGTATTGAACAATCAAACAGTATATCTTTACTTATAGTCTAACAATCAAAGTAGGAGAGTTATTGTTTTCCAAAGTCTCGACCAATCAAATTGCGTATCGCTCTGCTTACCCTGAGCAGAAAATGCTCATTATCAAACTTAGTCAAGGTATTACTGTAATGAAACTATACACCAAGTTTCATCAATCTCACTTAATTAGAACTAAAGTTATCGTGTCCCAAAGCATCAACCAATCAAATTGCTTATCTCTGCTTACCCTAAGCGGAAAATGCTCATCTTCGACCTCCATCAAGGCATTGACCTAATCAACACACACACCAAGTTTGAACATTCTAGCTCAATTAGGAAGAGAGTTATCGTACCCCAAAGTATCAACCAATCAAATTGCTTATCTCTGCTTACCCTAAGCGGAAAATGCTCATCTTCGAACTCCATCAAGGCATTGACCTAATAAACACATACACCAAGTTTGAACATTCTAGCTCAATTAGGAAGAGAGTTATTGTGTCCCAAAAAAAAAGTGTGACGGACAGACAGACGGACAGACAGACAGACAGACGGACGAACCCATTTTAATAGTCCCCTGCTTTCTTCGAAAGGCGGGGGACAATAAAAATGATAACAATATTTTCAATATAAAGATTAATTTGAAATGCAGTGACATAAAAAATAAAAAGCACATCTTGTAATTACGAGACACGCAGAATATTTTTTCTTTCATTTGATTGACCCTAATGGTCTTCAGTAATTTTTGTTTAATTTGTACCATAAAACCAACGTGGCTAAATCTATTTGTTAAGGCCAGCTGAATTTTTGTCAAGGTCCTTGAGATGTAAATAAGGTTAGGGCACGTGATTGTTAGCGGAACTGTAGGGAGGATTTAGGGTAAGTATTGGGGCTAGGTCCAAGGTTAGGGTTAGGGTTGGGATTACACCTCGTGACCTGTAATGAAAAATGGAGCTGGCCTTAGCATTTAGCACTAAGACCGTAAAACCTACCTGATCAACTCTAGACAATGATTCTGGATCTACACAGTTTATTTTGTTAGCTTCCCCTAATACCCACAGTTGATCCCCACTTTCAATGATACTAACTGACGTATTATCAGTCGTCGTTCTCGGCTCAAAATGGGAGAAGAATCTAAAATTAAATAAAATTAAATGGGGTTGAAGTAACGTCTTACTTTGCGGTGCCGACTGGCATAGATGAAGGTGAAATGAAATTATTTAAAGATAATAATATTTCAAAAATAGATAATGAAAAATAAAATATTGAAAATTTCAGTTAAATTACTTTATTCTGAGTGAAGTTATAAATGGTACTATTATCAGGTTTCAGACACCCGATGTAAATGGAATGAAATGGGATTTAACGTCCTACAGTTCTGCTCCGACTGGGCTGATGAAAACGGCCATACAGGCCTATTACAGGGTACTATGAGGAAAATCAGGTAAGGACAGCGGAGCTAAGGCCTACACTTCTATCGAATTCAAACTGTCAATGGTTGTTACATTACATGTTTGCCAATGTGTACACGGGACCTCATTTTTTGTCCCATCCGAAGGACTTTTATTATATAATGATTATAGAAAGATGTGGATATATCTATCGCCAGGCCTTTTATTGATATAGTCACTGACACTCGACCTGAGAAAAAATTAACCAGAAGTTGCTAGCTTTGTTAACACGACTACAGCAGCAATATCTACTCCCAGTGCCCTTATTCATGAAAACTTAAACTAAGATACAATCAAAATTTTAAGAAATACTGCAATTCGATTGGCTGACCAGTAAAATCAATTTGCATATATCCAATTTGCATATTGGTCAGCCAATCGAATTGCAGTATTTCTTAAAATTTCGATTGTATCTTAGTTTAAGTTTTCGTGAATAAGGGCCCTGTTTTTTAGCCGGTACTAAGGCCAACCATTTTAATTTTCTGTTTATCAGAGGCCTGATAAACCAAGAGTCGCTCGAATAACGTGAGAAATGTTTAGTTTAACATCTCAAAACTTAAAAAATAAAAATGGAACTAAAAGCTTTTGAACAGCGCAACGAACCGCTTTTTATTTCTAAATTAGTCTTTTTCCCTCGAAGAAATAAAACACGAAGAACGGAAAATCAGCTTGGTGTGGCCTTAGCCTACTGATATTTTATAAGGAAGTTTTTTTCTGACTTTACCTGGAAAAAATATTTTTACATGGATCAGGTAGAGCATTTGTTCCAAACTGACTAACCACCAAACGATTAGCTTTATGGCTGGCTTCCCAAGTTTCACTATTCAATATTTTACTTTGAAATTTCACTTCTCCATTTTCTATGATGAACTTTAGAAGTATAGCCATTCCATCAAACGCATGTACCAGCTCACTACTGCCAATCTGATAAATTCCAGAACTATTTTTATACAAAGATCCCTTCACCCAACTTGGTATCGTACCTAAAATAAAATGGAAAAAATCAAACCAGCATCAGTGAAATAATGTTCCTACGGACATTAATGGGGGTCTAAGATATGATCAAATTCTGTTAGGGGGGTTGAATGGCTGAATGGTTAGCGTGCGCGCGCTGTATCATACGGTCTGTCGACATAGGTACAGTATTCAACAATCGATTGATTCATATGTTTATTCGTTTTTATATCTATTGTTATGTCGAATCAGCACGATCGTTGATATTGTCAATTCAATAGATTGTTCTACCCCTCATACCTACTTCATCCATGAACCATATCGATACGATCTATACATGTGTCGTCGAACGAGTCGATCCAGTCAACCCTTCCCCGAGTTTGTAATGTCCTCGCACGATTGTATCGATCGAACTCTATCGATACGATCTATACATGTTTCGACGAAATAGTCTATCCAGTCAACCCTTCCCCGAGTCTCTAATGTCCTCGCACGATTCTATCGATCGAACTCTATCGATACGATCTATACATGTGTCGTCGAACCAGTCGATCCAGTCAACCCTTCCCCGAGTTTGTAATGTCCTCGCACGATTGTATCGATCGAACTCTATCGATACGATCTATACATGTTTCGACGAAATAGTCGATCCAGTCAACCCTTCCCCGAGTCTGTAGGCCTAATGTCCTCGCACGATCGTATCGATCAAACACTATCGATACAATCTATAAATTTGTCGTCTATGCAGTCGATCCAGTCAACCCTTCCGTGCGTCTAGACTGTCCTCGCACGATCGTATCGATCGAGCACTATCGAAACGAACTATATATTATGTTTCGTCGAAACAGTCGATCCAGTCAACCCTTGCCCGACCCGAGTCTGTATTGTCCTCGCACGATCGTGTCGATCGAGTACTATCGATACGATCTATATATGTTTCTTTCAACCAGTCGATCAAGTCAACCCTTCCCCGAGTCTCTAATGTCCTCGCACGATCGTATCGATCGAGCTCTATCGATACGATCTATACATGTTTCGTCGAACCAGTCGATCCAGTCAACCCTTCCCCGAGAATTTAATGCCGTTATGCAAATGACGTTGCTTTGTTTATGCAAATGACGTTGCGTTGTTTATGCAAATGACGTCAAATGGTTTATGCAAATGACGTCAAATGGTTTATGCAAATGACGTTACATAGTTATTCGGATAACGATGCATAGTGATAGAATAACAAGATAATTTGAAGTGGTGGCTGTTCGTTTATTCTACTAATTCTAGGTTTGGGTTCTATGGTTTGGGATACATTGTGTTAATGTGAGATTAAATTACAAAGAAGACCTAAACTGATGAAGAAGATTTTTCATCTCACACTGGTAGATATATATATTGCAGTAATTTAGGATGCGTTTTGAAATTAGTTATTCAAATTTAAAAACTTTACTATTTGCTAATCATCATTTTATAGAAGGAACTCCAAATAGGTGGTTTTATATATCAAAATATGTTTCTACAAATTCTGTTTCCATTGGACCGAAGGTTTTTCTTGGAGAATTGTGTGCTAACAAGAGATCATTAAAAGCATTTTTGCCAACAGATGAACAATTGTGTAAATCAGTTATTGATTTAATCAGAGACGAGTATAATTTCTTGTTAACTGATAATCTTTAATGGGACTTAGATCTATTAGATCTAACAGTGTTGCTAAGTGAACGAAACGGGTTTAAGTCAATTATTTTAAAACCAACATTTAATAACTGCTTATTATGTAATGGAGAAGTTGTAACAATTACAAAACCGAGTTTCCCTTTTATATATACAGAAAATGGAGTGTTTGTCGGTGCCAATTACACTTCTGAATGTCGTAACTCAGTAACTGTGAAGCAAAGCCTAGATATAAATTTTCGTTTTATACAACTGCAAACGTCGACAGAAAATGTAGATTCTACTATACAAAATGTGACATTAAAAGTAAACCAAATTTTTGTTTAAAGCTCTTCACGAGATACGTGTCATGGGTGCATCATTTGAGTCAATGGCGGAAGTGTATAATGTTTTCCATGATTCACAAAATATAAACAGTAATTATCTGTCTAGTTTTAACAGAGGAAGTGGTATTAATGTGTATGAAATGAATCCAGCACGATTAGAAGAGGCATGGTTTATGTACCGCATGCAAGAAATATAAAGTAATGATAGGTTGGAAATAGAGAGAAAGGCATCTGGATTAGTTAATATAGATAAAGTATGCGAAACAGTGATTGAGGTACGGTAATCCATTACTGTAACTATTTAACTATTTAGTAATTAAAGTTAAATGTAAACGTTTATGAAAACAAAAGTAAACGAATAGCCTAGATAGTAGTCTTATGTCAATATACCATTTTTTCTATATTTTACTGTTATTTATATTTTAGAAATTAGAAAATTTACAGAACAGATGGGTTATGCATACCAGTGAAATAAAAGGATGTGAGGAGGGTTACTGTACAATTGATGGAAATGAGAAGTTAAGAAGGGGTATATGTTCTGAAGGTGGCGAAAAGATTTTAAATCTGCGATGTATTGAAAATATTGTTTAATGGAATGGATGTAACAAATATGCCATATTTTTAATAATGAAATGATATATTTTACTTTAATAGTTAATGAATTTGCATTTCATTTCTTGCGAAAAAAAATATTACGGCCTTTTAAATTTTTCATCTTCTAGAATTGTGCATGAAGTTGACAGTAACGAAATCCAATTATTTAATTTGCTCCAAAAATGCTTTATTGCGTCATTGTAAGTTGGTTTGTGTTGGATGTATTCGCTACAGGATATAGTACAATAGGGGAATTTGGGGCGCCTGATTTTAAAATATCTCAAAGCTCCATTAAGGCCCGGATGTCGATATAGTTGTCGAATCAATTAATTGTCTTAAGTACAGCTGTAGAGCACCCTCAGCGACGAGAGCCATCTGTGAAGAATATTAATTTTTCTTCGAGAAAACACAAAGCTCTATAACCTGTTCAAAATATTGTGGGGGAGATCCCCCAAACCCCCCGCCACAAGAACCTGTTCAAAATATTATGGGGGAGATTCCCCAAACCCCCCGCCACGAAAACTGTCCAGAATTTTAAAATACTTCTGGGGGAGAACCCCAAATCCCGCCAATGTAGCCATCTGTGAAGAAATTTTTTTTTTTCGTGGAGAAAACACAAAGCTCTATAACCTGTTCAAAATATTGTGGGGGAGATCCCCCAAACCCCCCGTCACAAAAACCTGTTCAAAATATTAATGGGGGAGATCCCCCAAACCCCCTGTCACAGCAACTGTCCAATCTAAAAAAAATGGCCTTTGACGATGGACAGTCGAGGCTCTTAATTTTAAAAAAATGCTGGGATCGAAATTACAAATCAAGTATGGACGGTCATAGAGTTGATTGGATCGATATCATGTGTACGATCGTATCGATAGTGTACGATCGTATCGATCGTAAACCATAGTACACGGCCGTAGAGTTGATTAGATCGATAGAATGTGTACGATCGTATCGATCGTGTACGATCGTATCGATCGTGTACGATCGTATCGATCGTGTACGATCGTATCGATCGTGTACCATAGTACACGGCCGTAGAGTTGAATGGATCGATAGAATGTGTACGATCGTATCGATCGTACACCATCGTACACGGCCTTAGAGTTGATTAGGTCGATAGAATTTGTACGATCGTATACGATCGTGTACAATTGTGTATCGATCGTATAAAGTTGACTGGATCAAAAGAATGTGTACCATCGTATACCATCGTACACGGCCTTAGAGTTAATTGGGTCGATAGAATTTGTACGATCGTATACGATCGTGTACGATCGTGGTGGTGCGTATCGATCGTATAAACATTCGATAGAATGTGTACGATCGTATCGATCGTGTACGATCGTATCGATCGTGTACCATAGTAAACGGCCGTAGAGTTGAATGGATCGATAGAATGTGTACGATCGTATCGATGGTATACCATCGTACACGGCCTTAGAGTTGATTAGGTCGATAGAATTTGTACAATCGTATACGATCGTGTACAATCGTGTATCGATCGTATAAACCATAGTACACGGCCGCAGAGTTGACTGGATCAAAAGAATGTGTACGATCGTATACCATCGTACACGGCCTTAGAGTTGATTGGGTCGATAGAATGTGTACAATAGTAACGATCGTGTAAGATCGTGGTGGTGATAATATGCTCCTTTGGATTGATTCGACATTAAGAGTTTTTGCAGAGTTGATTGGATCGATACTAAAACACACATCATTACGATCGTATTGGGTTGATTGGGTTGATTTGATTTGCACGATCGTACTATGAACGAAACGAGTTGATAGGGTTGATAGGGTTGACACAGTTGATACAGTTGATACAGTTGATATATTTGTCGAATCAATCGATTGTCGTATACTGTACCATAATGGGTCTGTCATTGAGTCGACTGGCGTGGTTTCGAATCCCCGGTTGTACGTGGCAAGGAGTAGGGTCGCCTGTCCAACCTCGTGGGTTTTCTCCGGGTCCTCCGGTTTCCTCCCACTGCTAAAAACCCCTACGCACAAGCGAATTATGGAAATAAATTTCAAACCATATGTTAGTCCCGAAATGACATAGTTTGTGTCAATTGTTTTTCTTCGGGTCCTCTGGTTTTCTGCCACTGCTAAAGACCCCTACGCGTAAAAGAATTATTGAAATAAAATTAAACCATATGTTAGTCCCAAAATGACCCATTTTTGTGTGTGTCTGTCTCCCTTGCTCTCCTTCTTTCTCTCATAATTTTCCAGAAAATCGATAAGGCTCATCCTCACATTGCCACACGGATTAAAAACAAACCTGCTAAATAAATATAGCCTGTATTTCGTTCGCAAGTTTTTTGGAAAAGCGGGGTAACTTCGGAACGGAAATTGTAATATACATATTTGTATGAAGTTTCATCAAAATCGAAAGACAATCTTCTGCTTCCGATTCTTTTTAAAAAAATAGCCTCTGAATAAACTAGTAAAATAGAGAGTCCATCTTTACCTTTGACTTCCAACGGAACTGGATCCAGTTGTTGAGAATCTACTGTAAATTGCTGCCATGGTGGAATGCTACTGTCTTGTTTTGTCGCCATATTTTCTCTGTAATTATATATAACTTCAGTGAATAAACAGTCGTTTAGTTGATCAGTTCCCAAATCAATAGAAACACAGTAAACTTCCGAAGAACAGAAAATCGACTTGGTTTTCTTTTTCATTGGAGTGGAGTTTGGGTGGCTGAATGGTTAACGCTTGCGCGCTAGATAATAAGGTCTGTCATGGAGTGAAATTGAGTCATGGTTTCGATTACCCGGTTTTACGTGACAGGCCTTGTGGGTTTTCTCTGGGTCCTCCGGTTACCTCCCACTACGCGCAAGTTGAACCATATGTTAGTCCCGAAATGACCTAGTTTGTGTTGGGTGGACTCTCTCTCTCTCTCTCTCTCTCTTATAAATTTTATAAGAAATATATATATATAGAGAGAGAGAGGGAGAGAGAGAGAGAAATGGGGTTAGTCCCGAAATGACCTAAAATTGAACCATATGTTAGTCCCGAAATGACCTAGTTTGTTTCGAGTGGACCCTAAACCCCAATACGAAGTCAACGGTCAACGTGCTCATATCATTATGGGCGCCACATAAAGGCGAGTGACATTGGTTGGGTGCCCAAAACAAGATTACAATCGTAATGCGAATCGTGATAGTGCGGTGGGAATATACAGGGAATGTAGCATAAATAATACCCCCATCAGTCCGGAGTGGCATCTTTACTGTGCTGCTACGGCGACAGAATATGGTCTCAGAGCTCGCCAAGATCGCCATAAGTGTTATAAAAGCGTGGTGGAAACGGCAGATATCGTGCTGTATTCTCCATGGTCACCAAAGTTCGCCGAGTCAGGCGTTTATTTTCAGCATGTTCAAAACAAACGCCAAGGTTTGCGATCTAACCTGGAAAGCTGTGAGAACGCAACTTTTTTTCAAGTTTATAACTTTTTGGGATATTTTCTCGCATTGTCTTCACGTTTGCCGGCGACCTTGTGCATTTTATGGTCACCGTACTTCGCAGCAGCGCAGTAATGACGCCAGCCCGGTCTGACGGGGGCATAATAGAATAGCTTGTCGGGTTTGTAATAGGTTTATAGTTTGTAAATATTACTGGCATCAATTTAAAAAATACATTCATTATTACACAATAGTATTAAATATAGACATACCAAACAAATTTATAATCAAAATTAACAATGTGAATTATCATTAACTTATATAAAATAATTAATATTAAATATCATAGGTTACACATACCTGAATACAAAAGAATTGGCCAGTGTTATTAACTGAAGAACTGAATATTTTTTTCTCTTTATATTTCTTTTAGTTGATCAGTTCCCAAATCAATAGAAACACAGTAACTGTAAACAAACCTATAGTGTCCAATTACTAACTAGATGTCCTGCTTCAAACAATAAAAACAAGCATGTACATGTGTAACATGGGAGAGTATTTACAAGTCCAGGGAAGAATAGCTTCAAGATAACTTAAACACTAAACAATAGAGTAATTAGGGCAAGGATTAACCACTTTACCTAATGAAATGAAATAGGGGTTTGACGTCCTGCGGTTCTGCTCTGACTGGGTTAATGAAGACGGAGAGAGAGAGAGAGAGAAATGGGGTTTAACGTCCACTCGACACAAACTAGGTCATTTCGGGACTAACATATGGTTTAATTTTATTTACATAATTCGCTTGCGCGCTGGGGTCTTTAGCAGTGGGAGGAAACCGGAGGCCCCGGAGAAAACCCACGAGGTTGGACAGGCGACCCTACTCCTTGCCACGTACAACCGGGGATTCGAAACCACGCCAGTCGACTCAATGACAGACTTTATGATACAGCGCGCGCACGCTAACCATTCAGCCATCCAACCACCCTAAAGACGGGCATACGCCATACAGTGTGCTATAAGGGACATTTTGCACTATGGCCTACTCTTATATTGAATTCTAACTGCCAAGGGATCTTTTACGTGCATGGCGATGTATATACGGGACCACGGTTTTTCGTCCCACCCGAACGACTAGACAGCTGTCCTCGTCAGGCCCTCCGTTCTGCACCACTGACAAGGGGAAACCACGTTACGTATTTGTATGTCTTTCCTCTATTAACGATATTGAACCCGTGTAATATGCCTGATGATTCCCGTAGCGGGTGAAAGCGCTAGCTAAGATAAAATTTGTTTGTTTTCTTTCTAAACTTCATATTTCTATATACGTTTACGTGGAAGTAGAATCTTTTATAAACTTTATATATATATATAGCCTATAATATATCCCAAAATGTACTTGCTTGAAAACGTTGAGAGAATACTCTTCGAAACGTCGCCCAAATAAAACAGTAATTGTTCTTCCATAAGTATGTGTTATAGTTTATTGCTCTATCCAGTTACTAAATGGTTTAATAACATTTTAACATTTAAAGTGCTTGGGGGCTTTTCATAAATGATGCCATATATTAAAACAGATAATTAATTACATGTACTGCGATGTTTACGGTAGATAAATATACTAAGCAGCAAAAGAAACGTCAGGGTGGTGTGTTATTCTAAATTGACGCATTGCATAAAACTTGCCAAATGCTTTTATTGTATATTTGTGACCACATCTCGAACTTTACCTAAGCAATAAGGCGTCTTCCCAAACACAGAATTGAAGCCAGGAAATGTTCTCAAAAAGACAGCCTGACTTCTGAGATGGTAATGTGTTCTCCATGATTTTCATGTAACTCATGCTGCACGTGCTGTTCACCGGGACCAGCCCTATAAAATGCACCCCCATACCTGGTTGAATCATTCAAACTACAACTTCAGCAGCATGCCAAGACTCACGACAGCTCAGAGGAACCCGGCGCTTGGAAGACTCGACTCTTGCTCTGCCCCCAGAAATATTTGGAAAATAATTTTGCGTCTGAGGACAGGAACTATGAAGATGACGGAAAATTTCAATTTTGAATCTGAATTTGCATATTGGCTTATTATGATATTTTGATATGAACATTATAAAAATTTAAAGGAAGGAATACGACTTTAGCGTACCTATACTATTCAAAAAAAGTAGGGGATATTTGATTTTTAAGTGTTATTAAAGTCACCTAATGAAACTGACGAAGAAACAAATGACAAAATGAAATGAAGTTCACATTCATCGATTTATTCCAAATGATCGTTAGACTAAGTAAGGCACAGACTGACCATTATAAGGGTAAAATGACACCCGGGGTCAAACAGCAAAGTTACCACAGCATCACAACCAAGTCAGTAACGGGTAAATCCTCCTCTGTTTGCCGAACAAGCATTGATCCGACGTGGCATACTCCTAATGAGACGTCTAAGGTCATTTTGGTCCAGATTGTCCCATTCCTGTTGCAACGCAGCAGCAAGTTCTTGGACATTGGCAGGACGTTGTTGACGTTGACGTAACCTCTGTCCAAGCATGTCCCAGACATGCTCGATGGGGGAGAGGTCGGGACTCAGTGCTGGCCAAGGTAATGTGGTGATGTTCTGTTGTTGGAGGTAACCTGTAACGATCCTGGCCCTGTGACATCTTGCGTTGTCATCCTGGAAGATGAAACGGCGGCCATGACGTCGTGCGAACGGCACAACATGGACTGCCAAGATGTTGTCCCGGTAGTACTGGCCTGTAACACGCCCTGCAACAACATGTAAAGCCGTTCTTCCAGCAACAGTGATGCCTCCCCACACCATAACAGAACCACCCCCAAATCGATCATGTCTGATGACGTTAACGTCTTGGAAGCGCTCGTTTCGACGACGCCACACCCTCCTACGTCTGTCCAAAAAATCAACAGTGAACCTTGACTCATCTGAAAACATCACATTGCTCCAGCGTCGATTATCCCAGTGTTGACGATCCCTACACCAACGACGTCTTGCCTGAATGTGATGATCTCTCAAACAAGGGATCACGCGAGGATGTCGGGCGCGAAGGTGACCCCTATGCAGTCGATTCCGAATCGTCTGGCCACTCACTCTCACACCAGTGTCTGTTTGAAGACGAGCGCTGATCTGATTTGCTGTGATGACACGATTTCTCAAGGCCAAGGTACGGATAAATCGATCCTGGGCTTGAGTTGTCGCCCTGAGCGTGGTCTGTCCTGTACAGATTGTGTAACACGGTATCTGGACCATAGCCTGCTTATGACAGACTGAGAAACATTCATCGTCCGCGCCACAACCGCCTGTGTTGTGCCGATCTGTAGCATGCCAAGGGCACGTAACCTTTCATTTTGGGTAAGCCGACGCATATCAAAATTTGTTTTCTGGTCACTAAAACAATTAAACTGATGTTTCCACCCTGGAATTCAATGCCACAATGACTGTACCATTCAAAGTCAGAGTCGTGCAAATCTTGGGTTGGACCCCCATGATGATCCCAAGCATCACCTGCATTCCATGCGGTAGCTATTGGTGCGTTTGGGCGTCACACGTAACTGGAAATATTTCTTCTGTTAGGTTCTATAGTGACTTGTTTCGTAGTCATTTGCATATTTTAGTATTATGCCCCCAAAATCAAATATCTCCTACTTTTTTTGAATAGTATATAATAATTTATGAGAAAAACGAAAAGTTCGGAATCGGGATAAAGTGGGACTTGTTTGAATTGTGAAGATTATCACGCCTGGTGCGGGCTTGAATCAATCTCATCCCCATCTTGAATTTGACCTGGAAAATTTCCCGCAATCTCCATTTGGCTTTCTTATGGTAGATTTTGTTGTGGGCGGCCCATCGATCTCGGCATTATGGGCGCCCCTCCGGGATGAGGCACCACGCCAATCATGCCGTTTTGGGCGCCCCAATGGTTAAGTCGTGGGCGCCAAACCAATCACACTCGTCGTTATGCATTGTGTGCGGCCCGACAATCATATATTGTCATTATGTCGTTATGGTCGCCCCTCCGGGGTAAGGAACGCCACAGATCACGCCGTTTTGGGCGCCCCATTAATCAAGTCGTGGTATTAATTGCGGTAACCGCCCCCACCTCCCCCCCAATCAAGAATTACTTCCGCCAACCCAGCTATAGGGTGGGGGGGGGGGGCAATTCCGATTATTAGAATAAAAAACTATTCAGTGACTTGGGAGCATACAAATTGTAGTATGTACCACGCGTATACCACTAGATCGCGATTGTTTTATGCAAAAGGTCAAAAGAGCTAACTACCAACCCTACGATATGCTGCATTACAGACTCCAGAATCCGACATCACCTCTGTGGAATGGCTGGAAAGTAGTGAATAGGAATTGTTTGTCGATATGATACACACCGGGTGAACTATGTCTATGTATTAAAACACCTGCTCAGTCGATATCTCCCAAAAGGACAATACTGATCATTCCGGTAGTTGATTCAAAATACTCAGACTCGTTGCACATATTTTCTTTCTGAGATTTGAGAGTCATACTGCGGAATTCATTATTATATGTAGCATTATAGTGTATTATGATAGCTGAAATATAGGCAGGATAACATTCGTGGATGCCCCCCACACCCAGAGGCGTAGCCGTGAAATATATATGGGAGGGGGGGGGGGCGCAACCCTAAATCCTAACCCTAACCCATTTTTTAAAACCCCTAAAAAATATAAACAAACACCATGTGGCCATGCTACATGCAGGGGCAGCTTGAAAGAGAAATTGGTGTTGAAATACTTAAAAGTCAAAATGTTCCGTTATAAAAGTTGGCAATAGGTTCTGAATTTAGCTGCAGTCCATCATGAGTTTTGGGAGAATCAAGAAGTCCACAATGTCAGAATATGTCCATTCACAGTGCCAATTTCGGCGGCGTGCAGAGGTTTGATTATCATTATTAGTAGTATTATTATTGTTGTTCGATTTATAATAGCGCTTCATTACACGTTTGAAACTTTTTTTTTGAAAATATGTTTTCAAGTTAGTCTTAAAGCTTTGGATGGAAGAGGACTCTCGAAGAGTTTTTGGAAGATCATCCCATATTTTAGCTGTTCTGACGGAGAAAGCATATTCACCAGAACGTTTATTATATTTAGGAATCCTCAAAATGCTACGATCACCTGAAGAACGAAGGTTTGATCGCCGGGGAGTATAGGAATCAGTGTCAGTTTAAACACATTCACAAAAGCTTTAAATTAAATCCTCGCCCAAACTGGAAGCCAATGGAGTTTCTGTAACTTGTGTTTTAGTTATATGAGACGTGCAGCATTGTTTTGCGCTATTTGTAGTCTGTTTAAAGTTGATTCTGGTGCTCCTGATAGAAGGGAATTTGCATAGTCCATATGCGATGTTACTAATGCTCTAACAACGCTCTGGCAAGCTTCAGTATTAAGATTAGAGCGTATTCTCGGAGTATTTGAAGATGCATTTTCCGTATGATAATATAGTGTGGTATGACATGTCATCAAAACAGCTCCCGTAGGATTTTTATGCTAAAATTGATTTTTTTTTGTTGTTTGGGGTTGATTGGGGACCAAGCTATCCAAAAATGTTGGGGTTCAAATTTTCCGACCCCTTGTCCCCTCTGGGAGGGGCAATTTTAAAATCGGGACCCCTCTGAACGAGAACATGGCTATCTCAGCCAATAATGATTGGATTTTCATGATCTGAAGTCCATTATCGTGTTTTTTTCATCATGCCGATCCATTCTATGATATTAGAGATTGGAAGTAGTTTTCATTGACTTCCGGTGGAGAATACCAATTTCCGGTGCCAAACTCGGATTGATTTCAGCCAATAATCTTTGGATTTTCATGATCTGAAGTTTATTCTGGGTTTTTTTTTCATCATGCCGACATCTATGATACACTTAAAGCGAATGGAAGTTGTTTCTGTTGACTTCCGGTGGGAAATACCCAGAATGAATTTCAGATCATGAAAATCCAAAGATTATTGTCTGAAATCAATCAGAGTTTGACACCGGAAATTGGTATTTCCCACCGGAAGTCAACAGAAACAACTTCCATGCAAGATCTTGGAGGTTCTCAATGATGAGAACCCTGTGTGGTGTAGCCTTTGCTGTACCAAACAGTCTAGGATATGCCGTTGAAGGAGCAAAGGCTCAACCAGTGTCATATGCTAGCCTGGTTGATACAACACAGACTACACCACACAGGGTTCTCATCATTGAGAACCTCCAAGATCTTGCATCCGTAGCTGAGAGTTACTGGCGGGAAGCACGTGTTTGGTCACGTGACGCCGATGCCTACTCTTCTGGGGTCGTCTCGGTATTCGCAGTCTTATCAGATTTGTAACCGAGAAGGCCGCAAAACACAGAGATCTAGAGATAGATGTGATCGAGCGAGTGCGTGTCACTGGAAGTCATAATTAGTCTCAAGGTCTGATTGGACTTCGCAGCTTCTCTGGTGTTGACTGGAGAGGTAAACTTGTGGGCATCACAAAGAAAGCAAGGGCTGGTGCATCCATGAAGCTTGATGAAGATGACCCTGTTATCATCTGTTTCAAGAAATTTGGAGAAGGGTGACTTGCCTTCGCTGGTCAAGGAATTGGAGAGATTTGCCTGCCAAGTCTACTCTTCATCTGTTCCATTAAACCTACCGGCACTTAGATGACAATTGTTCAGTTCAGAAAATTTGGGAGAGAGAGAGATGCTTCCACTGACTCGTATTGCATTGTCGCCCCGTATCACAGGAACAAAGTACACCCCAATACCCGACAAGTCGTACCTAACCCGATCCCTGAACCTTCCTGCCATTTAACGACAGCGGCTGGCAGTTGGGCAAGGGCATTTATGTTCCTGTGCCCAATCTTGATCTGCCTGTCCGTCGTGCTGTAATTGAACTCACAAAATGTGGTAGTAAAACAGGCTGCTAAAGATGGTCTACCTTGTACATCTTTCTGCACGTGTTTTGATAGGGACCGTACCAATACGATTAGTGGTGTGCAGGAGGACGAGGACGATGAATAACTGATGTATTTATTTCAAAGATAGGATCTTTTTGTTTCGTTTCTGGCTTGTTAAGATTCTTTTTGTTTTTGATATTAAACTTGTTTACTTGTAACAAATGTGTGTCTTGAATCTCAGGACAGAAAATTCCAGTCACCCAAAAGTGACCATATCCACAAAAAGTGGTAGGCTGAAACACCGGAAATTGGTATTCCCCACCGGAATTCAATGAAAACTTCTCCCATTTGCATTAGGGCTATCATGATGACAAAACCCCAGGATGAACTTCAGATTATGAAAATCCAACCATTGTTGACAGAGATTGCCATGGACTCGGTCAGAGGGGTCCGGATTTCAAAAAGGCCCCTACCAGAGGGGTCAAGGGTCGAAAAATTGGAACCCTAGAATGAGGTCCGCATATAAACAAATCCCAGAGTGAACTTCAGATCATGAAAATCCAAAGATTATCGGCTGAAATCAATCAAAGTTTGACACCGGAAATTGGTATTCCCCACCGTATTCAATGAAAACTATTTGTAATCGCTTTAAGTTTAGCATAGATGGGATCGGCATGATGAAAAAAACACGAGAATGAACTTCAGAAAATCCAACCATTATTGGCGGAGATAGCCATGTCCTCATTCATAGGGAGCCCGATTTGAAAAATGACCCTCCCATTGGGATCAAGGTGTCAGAAAATTTGAACCCCAACATTTTTGGATAGCTTGGTCCAACATCAACCCAAAACAGCAAAAAAAAATAATTTTAGCATACAAATCGTACGGGTTGGCATCAGGCCCGTAGCCAGCTTGCTGGCGCAGGGGGGCAGCCCCGGCGGTAGGGGGGTCCGGGTCTCTCTTGCCGGGGGTACGGGGGTCTCCCCCCCGGAAAATTTTGAAAATTGAGTAGCTGTAAACGAGTTTCTAAGCATAGAAATCGACAATTATATGTTCTAAGAACGAACTATTCTGAGTGTTTTTCAAGAAATATATTCAAATCATACATAGGTAATTTATAAATATGGTCGACAACTTTTTGTCAGGGGGGGGCAAGATTATTTCCAGGGGGGGGGGGGGGCGAACCCCCCCAGCCCCCCCCCCCCCCCCCTTGGCTACTGGCCTGGTTGGCATGTCATACCACACTAATAGTGATTTGGGGAACTGCGGACATAAATTCATCAGTCACATTTTTTAGCCTGCTACTTGGGAGATATAGAGCAATCACCGATCTGAATGGAATCCACTTTAAATAATTTACTGGAGTGTGATTTTGATATGACAGGGTGATTATATTTGTCCCCACTGCCAATCCAATACCGAATAGGGCATACTACTGAGAAATGTGAGAAAAGTAACATTTCATATAATTATGTAAAATGGGATAAGAAATAAACCCTTTACAACAAAGGTAACAGCAATAATTTCAAATTTCAACAAACTTAATCTTGATTTCACTCTTTGACTGGATTCCGCCAGGTCACTCTGGGCCCTGGGTCAAAAGATTCAGGTACTATTTGATTGGATTCCGTCAGGATCCATGACAAGGCACTTCGGGCCCTGGGTCAGGTAAGGTCATTTTGGCGTATATCTGGGTTAGTGCTCATTGATAAGGCCAGCTGAATTTTTCGTCATAGGTCACGATATGTCAACAGAGCTAGCGATAATCCCAACCCTAACTATAACCCTAGCCCCGATGCTTACCCAAATCCTAACCTACAATCTCGCCCCCGTACCTTATTTACATCTCTGCAATCTTGACAAAAATTGAGCTGGCCTTAACAAATAGATTTAGTCGTATATCTGGGTTTAATTGGAGGTCACTTTGCTAAAACACACTGGTCGAGAAAAGGTCCACAATTTGCAAAAATATTGAAAAAAATTGAGATTTTTAGCCGTTAATGAAACGAAAACGAAAGTAAAAATTTGGCTTTCAGTTTCGTTTTTAATGATCAAATACCAGTTAGCCTACCTAGAACGACCGATACCCTGGTACATAATCACTGCCAGCAGAGCATGACACTCCCACCTACCATCTTTGTGGCGTTCTACAAGCCCCTATTACCTACCGGGACCAGGATACCCTGACGGTGACGAGATCCTCAAACGGAACGGTCAGGAAGGGGCCCACGACACCAAGACCCAGGAAGCTGGCTTTTCCTAAAATTGGGGACTGACAGAATATACGATTCTTATCCTACCCACGCCACTTGGTACACACATTCAAAAAAGTCTTTTTCTTCCTTGTCCATCCGTCTATCACACTATTTGGGGCACAATGACTTTCCTTGGTGTAGGTGTTTATTAGGTGAATGCTGTTATGGAGTTTGAAGATGAACATTTTCTGCTTTGGGTAAGCAGAGATAAGCAATGGGGGAAATTTTGCCAGGACAGCCATACTAGATCTACTCTTAAATTGAATTCCAACTGCCAAGGGATCATTTACGTGCACGCCAATGTATACATGAGACATCAGTTTTTCGTACCATCTAAACAACTAGACAGCTGTCCTTGTCAGTCCCTCCCATCCTGCATCACTGACAAGGGAAAACCACCCTGGAAAATCCTGATTAACTTTTTCAGCCAACACTGTGATCGAACCCGCGAACACCAGCCTGGCGATGCAGCATCTGACTCATTTAGCCACCATGGCTCCCCACCATCTTAGAACATTCTACTTTATTAGAAGGAGAGTTACTGTGTGCCAAATTGCTTATCGCTCTGCTTACCTCGAGCACAAAATGCTCATTATCGAACTTAGTCAAGGTATGATGTAATGAAACTCTACTCCCAAGTTTCATCATGTTGCGTACAAGGAGTGGCCATTTTGTCATGCAGTTTCCGTCCAACTTTCACAAAATTCAAACTCAACCGTCAATAGGGTGTCACAGTGATATATTCCCAATTTTTTTTAAAAATCGGATAAAAGTCCGATAAGCATGAATATCAGAAGTAACTGAGAACTTTGGGTATTTAACATACATGTACATTTTAAGTTTCATCAAAAACCGGATAACAATTAGGACCTCTGGAGTGCCACATGACAAAACCAATATCGAACGGAACCAAGATCCTTGGGATATAAACCTATATTTCAGGCAAACTTGGATAAAAATTGTGACCTGTAGAGTGACCACAAACAAAACCTACAATCAGGGGCCGTAATCCATCATTTAATTTACATGTCCGATACATGCCAATATTGAAAGGAACCAAAATCTTTGGGATATAAACCTATATTTCAAGCAAACTTGGATAAAAAATTGTGACCTGTAGAGTGACCACAAACAAACGTGAACGGACGTCATGACGGACAGGAACGACGACAATATACGTGTCCACCTGAAAAGGTAAAAAATCAACCACTTTACTTCATTATGATATACACCACATCATATTTTATTCTTGAGTAGACAAGATACAAGTTTAAGTGAATTATTCAATGAATGCCAGAATATGACAGTATGATTATGAATTTACAAGACAGGCTTATTTTTCTCTAGATTTTTCTTCTTGAAATTGGTAATGGAGTTCTTTAACATCAGTTTGTGAAACTTTGATCCAACCAGATTCTTTCATATGGTACAGGTTAACAACGCCACCACTGTAAGCATCTCGATGAGTAGCATGGTAAATAGCTCTTTTTCCTAGGTCATAGGCTTCTTCAACTGACAGGTCCCAAGCATAGCCACTATCCAAAACACCATATGCATATGTCGATCCTGAACCAACAGAAAAAATGTTATTAGTCAGTCTTTCGCCATCACTGTCGACGTAGTATAACCCTGGACCTTTTTTATCCCATCCAACTATCATTGTGCCCATTGATAGACCCATTCCTTTATAATTGTACACGGTATTCGCTAATAACTTTGAAGCAGCCGCCACTGAAATTCTCTCTTTATTTCTTAATTCATGCAATCTGCATTCTTTAGCAAGATGTCTTTCCCAGAATGAGCAATCCGCTGCACCGCCGGCCATGGTTCCTAACAGGTATGGGTTGATCTCGATGACTTTTTTCACTGTCTGAGAAGCTATGTAAGGTCCTGCTGTTGCTCTTGAGTCAACAGCCACAATCACTCCATGGTCGAATTTGAAGGCTAAAGTAGTAGTACCATGATCAAAATGGATCTTTACATTGGAATCTTTATCGGTCAAGTTTTTCTGGTTCGATAAAATATCAATGTCCCTGGGGGTGACAAAATTTTCGCTGCCATGTATTGCTTCATTGAAGAAAGCCGAATCCTGGCTATTTAATAGATTACAGTTTTCTCGAAGAGATGAATTCAGCTTAGTCATGTTCTGCAATCCACAAATCGAACCGAGAGCCATGTTTGTTGTATTCGGTGAATGCAAATTTTTTCTCTGTCCGGTACTGGTTTTTCCGGAACGAAAAAAATGTGTGACTAAAAAGTTGTAATCCGTAGCCAAAATCCAAGCACCAAAAACATTTAATCCTGAACAAAATGCGTATTAGCGACGGATAAACACTGGAATTGTCTTATAAACATCCGAATTCCGTAATGTCTCGAAAGTTTGATACCATGAGTTGCGCATGCGCGAGAGAAATCATCCGGTTGTGAATAATGACGTCTGTAATATTAATAAACATCATGCTCATGAACTAACTGTATGGCCACAGATCACCAATGATTTCCCCATTGACTTTAATGTTAATTCCCGTCTCTTAGACCGGCTCTAACGTTTTCCCAAATTTTCGTTGGGTAGAAGGCTTTCTACCACAGATGGAGCAATGAATATGTGGCAACCTCTTGCTCAAATTTCAAAAGCATGTGTATGATGATGAGGTTCATCATGGAAAATTTGAGATACACAAACTGGAAGAAGATATAACTAAACATGCAACTTTCCGCCCTACATTTCAACCTAATCAGGGAGCCACAGTGGCTAAGTGTGTAAGATGCTAGTTTTCCAGCCTGGAATTCGCAGGTTCGATCCCTGTGATGGCTGAGAAAGTTCATCAGAATTTTTCGGTGTGGTTTCCCCTTGTCAGTGGTGCAGGATGGAGGGCCTGACGAGGACAATTGTCTAGTCATTTGGATGGGATGAAAAACCAAGGTCCCATATATACATTGGCGTGCACGGAAAAGATCTCTTGACAGATGGAATTCGATATAAGAGTAGGCCGTAGCGCTGCTTTCCGGTCAAAATTTCCCTCATAGCCCTACTGTATGGCAGATACCCGTCTTCATTAGCCCAGTCGGAGAACAGTGGGATAATAAAATATTTTGATGAGCCTCTTTTTAATCCATCTAAATCCAACCAATTTTTTTGATTTCAAAATTAAATGTTAAATAATCATGTTGGTAGGGCTATTATAGCCTATTTTAAGGTGGAGAGGGAGGGTTTTAGGGTCATTTCGGGACTAACATATGGTTCAATATTATTTCAATAATTCACTTGCGCGTAGGGGTCTTTAGCAGTCGGAGGACCTGGAGAAAACACACGGCACTTGACTCAATGACAGACCTCTCAATCCTTGGTGCACCATCTTCAATAGAATGCTTGATCTTGCTTTAACTACGTACATCTTTTCAAGGCCGTCAGGTAATACCCAACATATTTCAGCACTAATTTCGATTGGGTACAAGCCCAACTTGTGAGCCTATCAGATTCCTCGATCTTCGCGAATACCAAGTCTCGAGCTTTCAAGCTAAAATGTCTACCTGTGTCAAGGTTTCCGCGGAGGTCGCGATGTCACAACCTCTGACTGAACACATTTCTGCTCACGTGTCTGTAGATAACATAGCTATAAGTTCGGGAATTGTGAAATCAACAAGCAACGGCCAGATGTTGTGAAACTCGCAGTCGTTGCTTCAGGAACATGGGGGAGTCCATGCTTTCCATTCAGCCATCCAACCCCCCACGGCTCACTTGGATTAAACATACATTATGCAAGAGCTAAATCTGCCTATTGCAAGTCTTTCTTTATGCCTTAAATGTTATATAAACTATTAATTAGAGTTAGACATTTATTAACATAACAAGAACATAATCAAGTCTGCATGCCATCGGAGAAGCCCAATTTTAAGTAGATTAGAACAGTTGAGCCATTTAATGACTTAATTAAATCTGAAAGCCTCAAACAACCAGTACGGTGGTTACAATAAATGCACAGAAATCCAAACGTTTTTTTGTTGTGATATATTTTATTAAATGTTGAAAGTTAAAAAATACAGTAATAACAAAATTATTATTCAAAAGTATGTCGAAAGCTTAAAAAATATAGTAACTAACGAAATTATAAAATCATTGGTGCAGGACAGAGGGCCTGACATGACAGCTGTCTAGTTGTTTGTATGGGACAAAAAACCAAGGTCCTGTGTATACATTGATGTGCACGTAAAAGATCCCCTGGCAGTTGGAATTCGATATAAGAGTAGGCTATAGTGCTGCAGTCTGGGCAAAATGACCTCATAGCACACTGTAAATGGCCTATGCCCGTCTTCATTAGCCCAGTATAGGAGCAGAACTGTAGGACGATGAACCCCATTTCACTCCATTTCATGTCCAGTTCATTGGCTATTAGGCTAGGCCATATTAGTTGTAAACAAACTTCATTAAAGATGTTGTTAGAGCTGAGGCCAAACTCTTGTAATTTTTGGTTCATCAGGGTGTAAATAAATAGACAGCCTCCCGAATCCCCAACAATGTTTTGATTAAAATTTCAACAGCTAAATCGTCCGGGCAGTCAACAAGAGTTGTCGCAAATTTTTACTTTTGTCGGTAATGAAACATTTATAATACACTAAAATCTGATTAAGAGTAACAACTCATTAAGTTATTATCAGAAAATCATTAGAATTTGTTTGGCCCATAGGCTTCTTTATGTGATGACCTTAATATAAATTTAAATTCAATAGGATATTAACTTAAGCCTCAAGAACATCCACAAGATTTTTCAAAGTGATCAAGGGCGTAACTCAGGCAGTAATTATCAGAAATCGGTGAAAATCAGTAGGCTTCTTTGTCTCTTGACCGTTAACACTGTGTATAAATTTAAAGTCAATCAGATATTAACTGTAGCCTTTAGAGCGTCCACAAGATTTTTCAAAGTAATCAAGGGCCATTGAAAATCAACACACTTCTTAGTCTGATGACCTTAAATACTGTGTATAAATTTAAAGTCAATGGGCGTCCTCGCTAAAGATAAAGGGACATAATCTATAGGCGATGCGGTCCCACATGACCTTATTGTTTACCTTATAGCACAGTTTTCCTGTGCATTCATTACGAACTGGTGTGTTGACAAACGTTAGTTTTTGTCGTTAATATGGAATTTAATACCGATACGGTTCTCTTACCATCGATAAGGTCACATGGAACCGATTTCTTACTAGCGACACCTTGGGTGGAATTCCTTCAGCGAGGATGCCCATAGGATATTAACGTGAGCCTCTAGAGCGTCCACAAGATTTTTCAAAGTAATCAAGGGCGTATAAAAATCATGTTTTTAGCTTGTGGACACACTAGAGGTCACAATTTTGATGAAACTTGAAATATATCGCCCATAACTACAAAAAATCTCTATCCATCTCTTGCAAAATGTGACTGTATCTTGCCTGGCATCCGCTGGTTTTCAGTAATTTGAGTTGATCTTCTATCATATATAGAGGGGTTGGATGTCATTGAGTCGACTGGTGTGGTTTCGCATATACGTGACAAGGAGTAGGGTCGCCTGTCCAACCTCGTGGGTTTTCTCCGGGTCCCCCGGTTTCCTCCCACTGCTAAAGACCCCTATGCGCAAGCGAATTATTGAAATAAAATTAAACCATATGTTAGTCCCGAAATGACCTGGTTTGTGTCGAGTGGACGTTAAACCCCATCTCTCTCTCTCTCTCTCTCTCTCTCTCATATATAATAAAGTAACCTGACAAACAGGGGCCCGTTTCACAAAATTTTAACTAAGATAAAATCCAAATTTTAGTAATTTGATTGGATAATATTAGACTGATTGTAGTGCTTAGCCAATCAAAATTGAAGTGTCTACTAAAATTTGGATTTTATCTTTAGTTAAAATTTCGTGAAACAGGACCCTAGTCATTTTAAAATACTTTAAAATTATTATATTAAAGTCTCTGAACATCATTTCAAGGATGGATCTTCCAAACTATAATATTGTAAAAGTTGAACCCTTATGGCAATATCAGTCGAATATTGTTCCTTCAGTATTTACAAAGACATGATGAATTTTTAGACGGATATAAACCTAAACACGCTAGCGCCACCTTTAATCACTTTAATATGATTGAATTTTGTTTTCTTAATTAAATGTTTTAAAACAAATCAATTTAAACGCCATTTTATTATTATTGTTTTGCAACATATTTATAGTGCGGCCTTTCATATAACATGTTCAGGGGCACTTTACAAAGTGACAATGTAATCATAAATAAACAACAAGATTATGGACATGTTAACAGTTGCATACACAGTCAGTTAAAAGCTTGATTAAATAAATGTGTTTTAAGTTGTTTTTTAAAAGAATATATGGAGGAGTGTTATACGTGGATGTTTAAATTCTCAGACTTCAGAATTTACTCAACTTTCAATCACTGTTTATGAGAAATATCTTTGATTCAGAAACACAAAACTTTGCACATAGTTTCTTATTAATGTATTTGATACACTAAAACAACAAAAGTTTTATAAAGGGCTATATAAGGCGAACAATTTTTAGTTAATTCTTAAGTCTGAGAACGTTTTGTGAACTCAAGGCCAGGTATTCTCTCTCTTTAAATATCTTTAAAAAATATTAACAAAAGCTTCAGGGCAAGATTCACATTTATCAATAAATTTACCGTTGTGACTATATTTGAACCTTTCAGCACTTTGACTAAGAGAAACCACCTTTACTAGGGCACCGTTTATTAGAGCAATCCAAAGTTTGAAGACAATCCATTAAGAATTGCGCCCTATAGGGGACCCACAGTCACACATACATACACACAGATAGCGGCGACAACATAATTATGTCCACTTTATGAATGTGGACCTTGGACGTATATAAATGATGCTGGAGAACGATTTTTTTTGCTTGTATTTACTAACTACATAGGTTTGAAGTATGAAGTAACCATGGAAACTACATGGGTTTGAAGAAACCATGAAAAGTTAATGTCATGATTTCTTTTGCTGGTAAAGTAGCACGAGCTAATTCTGTCATGGTTTCTGCATCCAGAATAAGTAAATAGGATTCTGTTCCAGGTTTGTTGGCGATGATTGGGGTCAGTAGAACACCTGAAAATAAAATTTTACAATTGTATTACTACTAATCCTTCAGAAGCGTTTAGTAACTGGATAGAAAGCTGTGTTTAACATCCCACTATTCTGCTCTGACTGGGCTAATGAAGAATGTGTGCTAGGAGGGAAATTTTGGACTTTTGAATGACAATCAGTGACAATCTATCCAATAGTATTGAGTTGATTAGAGGGAGGTAACTCTGCACCATGATCGTCAACCTCATATTATCTCCCCTTAGACCACAACCTTTCAAAATATATGAAATGAAATGGGGTTTAAGTTTAACATCCTACTGTTCTGCTCCGATTGGGCTAATGAAGATGGGCATACGCCATAGGGTCTGTTATTGAGTCAAGTGGTGTGGTTTTGATTCCCAGCATGTACGTGATAAGGAGTATGGTCATTTCTCTAAACTCTTGGGTTTTCTCTGGGTTCTCCGATTTCCACCAAGGAAATTATTGAAATAAAATTGAACTATATAAATTAGTCCTGAAGTTTGTGTTGAGTTGATGTTAAAATATCTCTCTTTCTCTCTCTCAATGAAATTGACAATTTGATTTATGGCCCCTAACCAAAGACGAGTCACCATTTTGAACCCTTACCTTCATCTTCTCTAGTTGAACCAGGTTTTGGTAAAAATATTGGTTCTCCTGGTAGATGGTTCACATCAATATCCGTACATTCAATAAATTTTCTTGTTTTTAAATCAACCTTCAATATCTAAAAATAACAAATTTTAATAAAAAAATCATTAGTAATTGTAGTTCTGAAGAAGTACAATCTACGAAACCAAGCTGGACACCATGGAATTAAATGAAATGGGGTTTAACGTCCTACTGTTCTGCTCCGAACTGGGCTAATGAAGACGGGCATACTCCATACAGTGTGCTATGAGAGAAATTTTGCTCGGACAGCAGCACTACGGCCTACTCTTATATCGAATTCCAACTGTCAAGGGATCTTTTACATGCATGGCAATGTTTACAAGGGACCTTGGTTTTTAATACCATCCGACTAGACGACTGTCCCTATCAGGCCCTCCGTCCTGCAAAGCCGGACACCATATTTTGCAAAGCCGCACACCATATTTTAGCTATAAATATATTCAATTCTACTGAACCGATTTTTCTTGTGAATTTTAAACAAGTACAAATATTCTTACTCTGTTTTTCTTGGTTAATATGGGGGAGGCATAGATATATCGATATTTCTTTCCATTGTATGTTTTATAATTTATCTGTGGTAACTCCATTATAATCCCATCTGAATCTGATAAATAACAATAATAATGATAATAACAACAATAATAACAACAAAACAACAAAAATAATAATAATTTATCCGAGCTAACTCCATTACAATCCTATCTTATTCTGGTAAATAATAACAGTAACAAAAACTACCACATCAACAACAATAAGTTATCAGTGCTAACTCCATCACAATCCCATCCGAATCTGATAAATAATAACAACAATAATAACAACAGCAATGACAACAACAACAATTTATGTGGTAACTCCATCACAATCCCATCTGAATCTGATAAATAATAATAATAATGATAAAAATAACAACAACAATAATAATAATAACAACAACAATCCCATCTGATTCAGATAAATAATAATAATACAGCCTACTTTTCTGAACCAACTGGGCTATTGAAAACAGAAATATGCCATGCAGTGAGAGACATTTTGCCTGGACAGCAAATTAATTCCTATTATTCATTTACATGCCTGTCAATGTGTACACAGGACCTCAGTTTTTTTTTTGTCCCATCCAAGTGACTAGACCCTGTTCCTTGCCAGGCTCATTCCCTTTCATTCTATTTCCTTTTTCAAAAGGGGGTTTTAGGTGGCTGAATGGTTAATTATTCCTTGCGTGTACGTGACAAGGAGTAGGGTTACTTGCCCTACCTCGTGGGTATTCACCAGGTTCTCCGGTCTCCTCCCACTGTTAAAGACCCCTATCCGCAAGCGATTTAGTGAAATAAAATTGAACCATGTGTTAGTCCCAAAACGACCTAGTCTCTCTCTTTTTTTTTGTTGACTAGTAATAAGTATTCTTTTAAAAGACTGTATCATACGGTCTGTCATTGAGTCAACTTGTGTGGTTTCGATTCCCCTGTTGTACGTAACACGGATTAGGCTCACGGATTAGTTTCCTCCCACTGCTAAAGCCCCCTACGCGCAAGCGAATTGTTGAAATAAAATTGAACCAAATGTTAGTCCCGAAATGACCTAGTTTGTGTGAGTGGAGGTTAAACCTTTCTCTCTCTCTCTCTCTCTCTCTCTCTCTCCCCGGAGGACTCGGAAAAAACCCATGAGGTTGGACAGGTGACCCTACTCCTTGTCACATGCGACTGGGTTATGTGAGTGGATGTTAACCCTCTCTCTCTCTCCCCGGAGGAGGACTCGGACTCCTTGTCACATGCGACTGGGTTATCGAAACGATTGATTTAATGACAGACCTTATGATACAGCGCTCACATGCTACACCCCCCCCCCCCACAATAAAATCTAATTTACGAAATGAAATGAAATGAAATGGGGTTTAACGTCCTACTGTTCTGCTCCTAACCTGGGCTAATGAAGACGGGCATACGCCATACAGTGTGCAATGAGGGAAATTTTGCCAGGGCAGCTGCGCTACGGCCTATTCTTAATTGAATTCCAACTGCCAAGGGATCTTTTACGTGCACGCCAATGTGTACACGGGACCTCCGTTTTTCGTTCCATCCAAACGACTAGACAGCTGTCCTTGTCAGGCCCTCCATCCTGCATTACTGAATCTAATGATACTTGGTAACGGACATGTAAAATTTGACCTAAACCAGGGTCTCCTGGTAAAATGACGATCTTTTAATAAAAGTTTACCTTTATTGTAAAGGTCAGGCGTACAAAAAATACTTCCATCATTTTGTAAAACTGCTGTAGCTTTTGTATCAAGAGTGATGAGATTCTTGTTTACTTCCGCCTGTAAATCAAAACAAACAATCTTAAAACAGACAGATAGTTGTCAAGGGTTCTTTTACGTGCACTCCAATGAATACAAGAGACCATGTGTTGTTTTTTTGTCCCATTCAAACGACTAGTCAGTCATGGCTGGTAAATAAACTGAAGATGAACCCTGATCTTACGAACACCTCAGATAAAAAGTGAATTTGCTACTTACCTTGGTGACATCCAAGGGAACAACGAATCTAGCAAATAATGGGGCATAACCTAGCTGCAAAATAGCATTTCCTTGAAGACTTTCCACATAAAGTTTATTCACGGAATCCACATCTTTATACCACACAAGATCAATGACAAGTTGGCCATCTTCTTCGTAACAATTCACGTAATGAAACACAAAAAATGGATCCGTAACGTATTTGACATTTATCTCCTTTCCATCCTTTCTAATAATATGGAACACTGACTGCAAAAAGAAATTATTACATAACTAATAACATTAATAGTCCCCCTTGTGTAGCCATAAAAATAATTTTTGTAACATGGATGGGAATTCCTCTTTTGTTCTTTTCATTGAATAAGCAGATTGTTTTCCCTCTAGTAGATTGGGTGGATCTTAACTGTGCAATAATTAGACATGTTCAATGTTATTGTACGCTTTTGCTGGTTTACACTAGTTTTAGTAGAAATCATATAAAGAAGTGGCCTTTGTGGTTAAACCTGCCAATTTGCCGATTTCAAAAAAGCACTGTTAAATTTGATGTAACAGTGCTATTTTGTCGGGGGAGGGGGTGTGGATGGCAAAATGGTTAGCACATGCACGTTGTATCATGAGGTCTGTCCTTGGGTCACCTGTCCAACCTCGTGGGTTTTCTCCGGGTCCTCCAGTTTCCTCCCACTGCTAAAGAAAGACCCCTACACACAAGCAAATTATTGAAATAAATTGAACCATGTGTTAGTCCCGTAATAACCTAGTTGTCTGACGCATCATATTAAACGATTACCTGTTCTTCGGGATAACTGACTAAGCAATCCTCAATAGTTGAATTTGTAAATTTTCTAAATATCAGACGCCCAATGCTGTACACAAATGGCTGCTCCAAAATAACGAAATAATTCTCTGACATCCCAAAACTATGATTATAGCTGATATTCCATTTCCATCTGGATGGAGCAGACGCCACAATTTTTGAATTCTCGAAATCAAGATCCCCTGATAAAAAATTGAAATGAAAATCATTAATTCTTAATTTAAATACAGACCACTTTAGAATGAAAATGAAATGAAATAAATTGGGGTTTAACGTCCTACTGTTTTGCTCCAAACTTGGCTAATGAAGTCGGGCATACGCCATACAGTGTGCTATGAGGGAAATTTTGCTCGGACAGTGGCACTACGGCCTACTCTTATATCAAATTCCAACTGTCAAGGGATCTTTTACGTGCACGCTAATGTGTACACGGGACCTAGATTTTCCGTCCTGCATCACTGTCCAGGGAGAACCACCCCGAAAAATCTGGATGAACCATAGTGACATGGTCAGGTCTAAATATTAAGGCCACCTGCAGATTTCGTCAAGGTTGCAAAATGTAAATAGGGTTAGGGCACGTGATTGTTGACAAGATTGTGGGTTAGGGTTAGTGTAGGGGTTAGGGCAAGTGCTAGTCCTCTTAAGATCTTATGACCTTTGATGAAATCTGCAGGTGGCCTTAATATTTAGAACTAACAGAGAGAGAGAGAAATGGGGTATACCATGTAACGCCTCCCAACCTCCCTTTTGAAAAAGGACTTATGCCCTAACATTGCATGACTGTCGAACAACTTCTGTTTTTAAATTCCTTTTAGAGGCAAGTGTACAATGTAGTTTAAAATTATTACCGTCAGATTTAGCGGGTATCTGTACAATGTTGTACGCTGCTTTCGGGTCAAAGTTGGTTGCTAGGTTGTAGATAGAGCCATCTTTTTCCAGATGTGGATGAGCAGTTGACAGATGTACGGTCACATATTTACCTAAATCAGCCTGAAATTATTCAACAAATCATTCCATTCATAATTTAAACTAATTTTACTATAAATATAATTATTCAACAAATCATTTCATTCATAATTTCAATATAATTTAAACTTTACTATGGATACAAATAGGTTCCTACTAATAATATGTTATTGCTTTGTGGGGGTGGGGGGGCTGTATGGACTGTCATGGAGTCAAGTCGCGTGGTTTTGAGCACACACTTGTACATGACAAGGAGTCAGGTTGCCTGCCCAATCTTATTGTTTTTCTCTAGGTCCTCCGGTTTCCTCTATGTTCAAACGAATTACTGAAATGAACATGAAGCAAATGTTAGTCCCGAAATGACCTAGTTTGTGTTGAGTGGATGTTAAACCCCATTTCTCACTCTCTTTACAAACTAGAAGGATTTTTTATACATCAAAGTTGACATTCATCCAAATGAGCAAGCCAATTATAGAAACAAAATTGAACTATATATTAGTCCCTAAATGACCTAGTTGTGTCATGTGTTAAACCATGGCCGAATGGTTAGCACGTACGCACTGTATCATAAGGTCTGTCATTGAGTCAACTGGCGTGGTTTTGATTCCCTGGTTGTACGTGACAAGGACTAGGGTCGCCTGTCCAACCTCGTGTTTTTTTTTTCGGGTCCTCCAGTTTCCTCACACTGCTAACTAAAGACCCCCATGCACAAGCGAATTATTGAAATAAAACTGAACCAAAATGACCTGGTTTGTGTCGAGTGGATGTTAAACACCATCTCTTCCCCTCTTTCACACTTGCTTTTTTATTAAAAAATACCAGATTCTTACATTTTTACCTTGAAAATTTTTATTTTTTTATTTTTTAACTTTACAATTTTATTTAGTTCTTAGATGATTTTACTGAAATATTTACTATGAAGCATTTAATTTCTGAAAAAAAATATACCTGATCTATTTTAGATAAAGTTTGTGGATCTACACGATTCATTTTTTGTGTTTCTGTCAGGGCCCACAGCTGATCGCCTCTCTCTATAATATTAACAGATGTATTGTCTGTTGGTGACTCTGACGTAAAAAGGGAAAAAAACCTGGAAAGAAATTTTTGTCCATATTCATAGATAGGTTGCCAGGTAACGAATTCTACGGGAAATGAAATGAAATGGGGTTTAACTTCCTACTGTTCTGCTCTGAACTGGGCTAATGAAGACGGGCATGCGCCATACAGTGTGCTATGAGGGAAATTTTGCCCGGACAGCGGCACTACGGCTTTCTCTTATATAGAATTCCAACTGTCAAGGGATCTTTTACGTGCATGCCAATGTGTACACAGGGCCTTGGTTTTTCATCCCATCCGAATGACTAGACAGCTGTCCTGCATCACTGACAAGAGAGAATCACGCCGGAAAATCTGGATGAACTTTCTCGGCCGATGCAGGGACCGAACATCCGACCTCCAGACGAGCAAGCCAGCTTCTTACCCACTTAGCCGCCGTGATCCCCACAAACAATAGTGGATAAAGGACGGACTGAAAACACTATAAGTCCTTATTTCAATATGGGCACACGTAAAACAGCACTATTGACCATAAAAAATATTTGTGTCTATCAATTCAAAAAAAAAAAATGTTTTCGTTATTTTCAAAGACAGTTGTTTTTACCTGGAGAAAATGCTCTTGCAAGGATCAGGTAGAGCATTTGTTCCGAACTGGTTCACAACCAAGCGATTAGCTTTATAGCAGGCTTCCCATGATTCACTGTTCAATATTTTACTTTGAAACTTTACTTCTCCGTTTTCTATTATGAATCGTAGAAGTACAGCCATTCCATCAAATAAATGTTTCATTTTACTGTCGCCAATCTGAAAAACTCCAGAACCGTTTCTGTACAAGGATCCCTTCACCCAACTTGGTATGGTGCCTAAAAATATCAGAGATGAAATTAAATGTGAGAGAGTGAGAGAGTGAGGGAGAGAGACAGTTTAACGTCCACATTTCGGGAGTAAAATATGGTTCTATTTCATTTCGTAGGGGTCTTTAACAGTGGGAGGAAATCGAAGGACCCGGAGAAAACCCATGAGGTTGGACAGGCGACCCTACTCCTTGTCACATACAACCTGGGAATCGAAACCCCACCAGTTGACTCAATGACAGATCTCATGATACAATGCGCACGCGCTAACCATTCGGCCATTCATCCCCCCCCCCACCCACATATAAATCATCTAGAATTATTTTTGTTGAAGTCTGGTTATATTAAAGGGAATGGGAGCTTACATGATATTAGACCGTCCTAATTCCTACCAGAAACTCATTTGACCCAATTCTGGCTGGTTCGTTTTAAATTGGATTAAGAATCCTGGTAATAGTATTTAATGGTATGGGTAAGTGCAGGAAGACCACACTACACACAAAACAAAACATATAAGACAAACCTGTGGATAAGACAAACTACACAGACATTACAATAGATAAACAACAAATATCAAATCAAATCAATGAGAGAGAGAGAAAAGTGGGGTTTAATGTCCACTTGACACAAACTAGGTCATTTTGGGACTAACATATGGTTCAATTTTATTTCAATAATTCGCTTGCACGTAGGGGTCTTTAGAAATGGGAGAAAACTGGAGGACCCGGAGAAAACCCACGAGGTTGGACAGGCGACCCTACTTCTTGTCACGTACAACCTGGGATTCAAAACCACGCCAGTTGACTCAATGACAGGCCTTATGATACAGCACGCACGTGCTAACCATTTGGCCATCCAACCCCCTATTCAAGTGAATGGTTCCGGGGACCAGCTGTAAGTATCTACATTTTACCTTTAACTGCTAATGGCACCGGATCTGGAAGTTGTGATTCTGGGTTATATTGCTGCCATACTGGCACAAATTCCTCTGTTTGTGACATGTTTCTCTCCTGTAAATATAAACACACACTAATAATAATAATAATGATAATATTAATAATAATCATTTTCACTGCTCTGTGGTGGCGCTTTACAATGAAAATATACAAAGACAACCAGTGATTACGTTTTTAGTGTAAGGAATGATTTGTAATAAAAGAATCTTCAATGAAAAAAATGGAATTAAACAGTTAGAAGGTTTAATGGATCCATGTGATTTAAAGCGTCGACACATGGATCCAAAATTTTCACAGTCTACAACAGAATACTGTAGCGTCCTCTAACCAGAGGTCTGCTATCAGTGAAGGTAATTCTGCCACCAGTGACTTCTTCCGGTGAGTCACGGACCAAGCTTTTCGGACGAGCGGTTAAGAGATTAGCCAAAAGGTAATCTTCCCTTGCTCAAAAACGAACAACAACTTGTAAATTAAATTACCATTTATTCGTAAAGAACTTCTAAACTCAGGAGTCTTAGATACAAACAATGTTGCAGTGTTTTAGATACCTATCAAGCATTCAGTAGCGAAAGGGGGCCCAGATCGCAATGATAACAATGGCACTATACAAGGCATTAAATTAATGTACATGAAACAACTAGTCAAAATCATAATAACAAAACAAACCGGGAGGAACTAAATGACAGTGTAAAAATATATACAATGGCATTAAATTAACATAACAACATACTACGTAAAACAATCACTATACATATTAAATGGCATATATTGCATAATTTGGTTTGATTTATATTAATATACAATGCATATAAATTAGGATATTAAATTATTATTTTAATCAATTATGGTGATAAGGAGCGAAAGAGACCTACCCTAACTTCCCACTAAACTAAATCCATGGCCTAAGGCCAAATGGAAAGATTGCAAAATCATATTCTAAAAAACAGGAATCAGCTCTCCTATGTCTTGTCTGCGATATCACTTCTGTGGAAGCAGACGTTAAACACCAAGAAGATAGATAGATACCACGATCCCGAAACCGAAACTAGACTTGCTAATTTGCTTCCTCAAAAAACTAGTCATAACTTATTGTCATTTCCTTCTAATCTACTCCGTATTTTTGTTATGTATTTTTATACATGCCTCATTAAAAACTAAATTTCTGTGCCAACAACCACTGAATATTGGATTCAAGCACTCCAAATTAAACGCTTACAATGTTAACCTGAGCTGCTTGCACCATATACTGTACTGCAAAGTGCAAGGAAGTCCGACTGGTCGTTTATGATTGCATGCGCGAAAGAGACCTACCCTAACTTCCCACTAAACCAAATCCATGGCCTAAGGCCAAATGGAAAGATTGCAAAATCATATTCTAAAAAACAGGAATCAGCTTCGGCTCTCCTATGTCTTGTCTGCGATATCACTTATGTGGAAGCAAACGTTAAACACCAAGAAGATAGATAGATACGACGATCCCGAAACCGAAACTAGACTTGCTAATTTGCTTCCTAAAAAAACTACAGTCATAACTTATTGTCATTTCCTTCTAATCTACTCCGTATTTTTGTTATGTATTTTTATATACATGCCTCATTAAAAACTAAATTTCTGTGCCAACAACCACTGAATATTGGATTCAAGCACTCCAAAATAAACGCTTACAATGTTAACCTGAGCTGCTTGCACCATAGAACTGTCGCATGCGCGTAAGAGACCTACCCTACAATACTTCCGGTATATTAACAACACCACCAGGTAATGTGTGGAGTTCGACTATTTCTGTGTATAATTTATTTCATTATGGTTGTTTGTGCTTTATATGGATGCCCAGCACGCAAGGCCAATAATCGGGGGCTATCATTTCACTGCCTGCCAAAGAACAATACAGAATGGAAAAATGATCTTTTGAGGGTTATTAAAGCAGACAGAGCAGATAAACTCAACGAAAAAAACTTGGTCTTGGTGCTATGCTCCAGACACTTCACGTCTGATTGTTTCGAAGAGCGTCAGTAAACATGTCAATATTATATTATAAAGGCTATACATACATAAAGATATGGTGTTGAATAAATAAATGCATTCCCACCATGAAGTATAAATGTAATACCATAGTATATCGAATGAAATAAGGTAAAAGTACAACTACTAACTACAATAACAAAGAAAGATCAGATGAAGAAAGTGAAGTTTGTTATTGTTTATAAAAAATCTGCTGTCGGCGTACGGTGGCACAATTTACCCAAATCCACCATTATTTCAGCTCACATTATCATAATTAGGTAATTTCTTATACATACCAAATTGTCATTTTTAATTTAATTTAATTTAATAACGTTTCTGTTTCAATAATAGTGCCAGTCGGCGGGGTACATTAAAATTTATTGCCAACTACATAAAATTTTCTGAAACGAAATAACAATTTTCATCGTAAAATAATATCCAAGGTTGTTTTTTTTGTTTTTTTTTAGATGTGAGAAAGAAAACGGGTTTAGCCTATCATGTATTGAAGCCAGGAAGTGTCCCTACCTTGAATCTCCACGTTAAAAGTATTGTCACAAAAAAGCTGGCTACTCGAAAGCCACCTGTAAGTTTGCATACTTTCATTTAAGCCTACTTTTTTCTGTTGCATATCTTCATTGTAGACTATTTGTAATAAAATAACATTCAATGTTTAATTATTTGAGAAATTGTCTGCCCCTTTAGTTTGATATACATTATGCATATTTTAGTAATTTTATTATATAATGATAAGCAAACAACCCTACATATGACCACGTGGTTAAAATATTATGGATCGAATCCTGTTGGGTTGGACGTGCCAATTGAGTGCTCCTTTAGTTTGATATAAATTATGCGTATTTGAGTGATTTTATTATAATGATAAGCAAACAACCCTTCGTATGACCACGTGGTTAAAATATGTAAATGGCACAACGTGATGTTATGGATCGAATCCTGTTGGGTTGGACGTGCCAATTGCTTTTATTTCATTTTCTTGTATACAACGATCAATATTGAAATAAATGATGTGTATTTAAGTGATTTTATTATATAACAATAAGCAAATAACAATTGCATTACTGAATTGAATTATGAGGTAGTTCTCCAGATGAGCCTTGAACACATGAATGAAAAGTGTGATGTTTATTGGGTTACTTACTCTGGTTATGACTGAGGGTTTAAGAGAAATTTACTACTTTAGTTAACCCCTAAAGATGACAATTAATAATTCAGTTAAATGTTTTGGTTGAGAGGGCAGTTATCATATGTAGTTATAAATCAGGGGTCACCAAACTTCGGCCCACGGGCCGAATACGGCCTGCAGCATCAGTTTGCTAGGCCCGCCATTGCATGCTGAAAAAAATAACTTTGTTTAAATGTTCTAACTTGGTGACATTTTGGTAAGATTAAGATATTTTAACATTTGTATTATTTTGTATATTTCATGTATTTATAAATAAATAGAATGATTATCCTTATTTTTTGTGTACATTCAGTGTATTCTGTATTCAGTGTATTGATTAAACATGCACATGAAAGAATGGTAATATTTCACAATAGAATATTGCAACTCTGAGCTTTATGTGGAGGTCAAACTATCATTTATTTGTGTTCATTACCATACATTTCAGAAAGAAAGAGCTGTACCGGATGTTCTCATTCAACCAGAACTTGAAAATGATTTAACCTTGAAGTTTAAAGACCTGCAGGTGTCTGAGTTACCTCCAGGGTGGCTTGTTTATTCTTCTAAGGACAGCAGTTATGAGTTTTATAAAGTTGAAGGTAGTGCCATCAACCTTCATCTTAGTGTTTATAGCGATCTACAGTGTCACGTCCGCTACATGAATTTTCTATTTCCAGAAAAACTTAAAGTAACATCAGATATCTATTCATTTCTTCAAAGTGTAGAAAATATGACCTTGTGCCCTGGAATTTCGTCTCCACATTTAAATACTGATATTGGTAGTACATCCACTAAACAGTATTTTCAACATGTTAACCTGTGTATGGTAACTCCACATCAAATTAGTTATGCAAAATGTGTTCGCTCCACAAACTGTAAAGGTTTTGTTGAAAACAGTAAAGACATGTATGTTTTTTGTAGACAGATTAAGCGTGAATTAACTGTAAAAAATAACCTATTGAATAAGTCAAAAGAAAAGAAAACTTTAGCTGTGAAGACACCTTTACAGAAGGTCAGCAAAGGTTTGCTGTCTAAGGCTTTGAAGGACACCCGTAAAAAAAATGAAGAAATTAAATAAACAACTTTTAACTATACGCACACAACTCAGTACAGAAAAAGTATCCATTGATTCTTCACAGCATCAGTCTTTATTTGAAATCATTAAAGATAATATCATTTCAGATCCTTTTATTAAATTATTCTGGGAAGAGCAGAAAAAAGCATTTTCAAGGGCAAAGCGTGGACATGTATGGCATCCTATGATGATTCGTATGGCAATACTGCTTCATTCACAAAGCCCAAGTGCGTATAGAACCCTGCAAGATATAGGAATACTAAAGCTCCCAGGTGAATCGACACTTCAAGATTATACCAACTTTGTGAAGCCATCTCCTGGATTTCATATAGAGATCTTAAAGGAAATTAAAGAAGCTGCTGACAAACTGACATCTAATCATCAGAAGTGGATAAATATACTTTTTGACGAGATGAGTATAAAATCTCATCTCGTCTTTGACAGAGAAAATGGAAATGTTATTGGTTTCATTAATAGGTAAGCACACATTTTCTTAAAACTTTTCTAGTTTCAATTTAAATCAGAAATTTCACATGTAGTATACACGTAGGTCTATGTGTAAGGTTACATTTTACAGCATTGGTAACATGTGCATTGTTTACATCAGACATAGTAGCACTAACTGGTCTGGGTAGAATTGGTGCCTTTTTAAATCATGGCCATTAGTCAATTTGTGCAATCAAAAGGAAATAGCTGGATTAAAAAGAATTTTAAAATTAGGTGTGGAAAAATAAACTCATAAATTTTCATCTTTCAGGTCCACTATTGGTGATCTCTCCAGTAATATCGCAACCCACTGTCTTGTCTTAATGGCTGTAGGAATAACAAGTAGTCTTAAATACAGTCTGGCATGGTTCCCGACTAAATCAACTAGTGCAAGTGATCTGTATACTATATTTTGGGAAGCTGTTGCCCATCTCGAAACCTACTGCCATCTTAAGGTTAGTCGAAAACTTTTATTACAGTACATGTACATATTTTAGAAAACCAAGGTAATATGTTTAGCTCTTGAAAAATGAAATCAAATGAATAAGTATTCAGATGTGACCCAACCAAAAGTGAAATGATCCAAATTCTCTCATTTACATGTACATAATATCACATTCATCTGTCAATGTTTTTTCTTGTAGGTTATTTCTGCCATGTGTGATAAAGTTGTATCAAATATGAAATTCATTGCCATTCATGGCAAAGAAGGAATTACCTATAAAACACCTAATCTGTTTGCTAACGACACTCCAAGAGATATTTATTTCATATCAGATCCCCCACATTTACTGAAAACAGTCAGAAACAACTTATCCACCTCTGGAAGTAACAAAAACACAAGATTCCTGTCTGTAAGGTCATTTTGATTATTACCATTATCTGTTGAAGTATTATTAGGAACAATTAACTCAGAATACTGAATATGATTGGAAAGGAATTATTACATTCTGTAAATAAATTAAGTGGATAAATGAATCATGTTTGGGAACATTGGATTTTATAATTTAAAACCTTTTGTGTCATTTCAGAAAAACGGAAAGAATATTCTGTGGAAACATATTGTTGATGTTTATAATAAAGACATACAGAATGAGTTAAGTCGAGCAAGCATATTAACATACAACCACATTCATTTAAATTCATATTCTGTAATGAAGGTGAATTTAGCTGCTCAGGTAAGTTTTTAATTGTCAAAATAGTGTACCTAATGAATGCAAAATAAATTTGAGATGTTAATGTAGTAAATGAGTAGTGATTTCCCTCATTTTCAGAAATTTGTTCCATCATACTTACTAATTGTCTTAAGAAGTTATCTATTTCCCAATATCTTTTTGGTCATTCTTGCTCAAAAATATTCTTAATTTTAGCTACAATGGCGTTCATTGACAAAATTAAAGTAGCAATACAATAATCTTGGGATTAATCAATTTTGGATTGTGAATAATTGTGAAGCCTTTTATTTATCTCAGGTAATGAGTATGTCAGTTGCTAAAATTATGGAGGAATATGGTGGAAATGAAGCAAGTTAAACTGCTAAGTTTGTGTCTTTGGTTGATAGATTTTTTGATTGTATGAATGTAAGGTCCTTAAATGAGGGTTTAAGAAAACGTAAGCCTGATTTAATGCCTTACACAAGTTTGGAAGATCCACGGTTTAAGGTATATGATGTTTTGAAGTCACTATTATTTAATGATCATTATAATCCTTTATAAATATAGGATGTGTAATTTTTTAATCTTGATGAAATTCACAAATACTCTGGTACATGTAACTTACGTAAACTAATGTCCAAAAGAAAGTATACTTACTAAAAATATGACTAAGTTTTGTTTAAATTAAAAACATTTGATAAAACAATATTGAACATGACATTTGCATCCAAACTCAATATTTCTGGGCAAAAAAACCCCAAACAAATTGACATACAATGGAAAAATGACATTGGTTGATGCAGCACGAAATGGACTGTGTATACTTTCTTTTGGACATTAGTGTCCTGTGTACTTTCAAAAGATACATTTTAACCCTCTAGTTCCTGTTAGATGATTTCCTTGGATACTTAAATGAATGGAAAAATAAAGTGGAGAGCAAAGAAGGCTTCAATAAATGAAATGAAATGAAATGGAGTTTAACGTCCTACTGTTCTGCTCCTAACCTGGGCTAATGAAGACGGGCATACGCCATACAGTGTGCTATGAGGGAAATTTTGAGGCTTCAATAAAACTGAAAAAGCAAAGCAAAGATGTTTCTAAGTCCCCAGACATTCAAGGGTTTAGTTATGACAAGTGAGCTTTGTGTTATTTAATTTTCTATCTATGAAACTCCTATCTTTGTTTGATTTTGAATTAGAGGACCTGGGTTCTTATTCCACTTGTGAGTAAATGGTGGAGGCTGGAGGGCTAACAAAAAATGTTTTGTTCTTCTGATGACATGGTAAGCCAAGGTCCAGTGCATTATGGGAGTGCAATATAATAACACCTTAATACTTGAAATTTGTAACAAGAGCAGGCAATAATATCCCTTTTCATTAGCGTTTATAAGTGCTATGTTCAAATTATTGGGTCAAATATTAAATGCAATTCTATAGTACAGTTTTGACAATTTAACTTTTGCTTTAAAATAGTCATTGTATTTTCTGATTTGAGATAATGAAAATATAAAATACTTCCTTTTTATTTTTTCAGCTCATGCAGTGGTAGAGGCCACACAGTTTCTCTTGAGAAGTGGTGTGAGTTTTGTTTTAACAAATAAATTTTGCCAGGATCTGGTTGAAGAGCATTTTGGGCATCATAGGGCATTGGGAAGACGGAATGAAAATCCTACTGTTTATCAATTTGGGTATGATCTTTTCTAAGAGGTTTATTATAGGAACTTCAAGAATTCACCTCCATTGAAGCCAATACGTACTGCACTTTTAGGTATTTATTGGGTAATAAACCCCATACATTTCATGTTCTCAAGGGAGGTGGATGGCTGAATGGTTAGCGCATGCACGCTGTATCATAAGGTCTGTCATGGAGTCAATTTGTTTGGTTTCAATTCCCTGGTTGTATGTGACAAGTAGTAGGGTCCCCTGTCCAACTTCATGGGTTTCCTCCCACTGCTAAAGACCCCTACGCACAAACAAATTATTGAAATAAAATTGAACCATATGTTAGTCCCGCAATTACCTACTTTGTATCGAGTGGACGTTAAACCCCATTTCGGATAATGATACAACCCAGTGGACAATAAGCCCCATTTCATATCCTGATATAGAATACACTGTACTTTTTATTTGTATCAATTTCAGATATCAGGAAAATAAACTAAGACAGCAGAGGAGTTTAACTTTATTATTAAAACCTAATGGCAATATAACAAAGAAGAGAAAAGAGAAATGTGTAGTTATTGATGACACTCCATTAAAAAAAAAAAGAAAAGAAAATTAACACCAGATAATTACTGCCCGAGTTATAGTCCTCAATCAGTACGAAAAGTCTTTTGGACGCTGTAGAGGTTAAAGTTATTCTGATTGACTTTTACCCAGTGTTGATAACAAACTTGATAGAATTGAGATATTCTGATACATTTACATATTGATTTAATTTACATTTTTACAGAGCTCTAAACTGCTCTGACCCATAACTTACTGACTTGAAATAGGCCAACTATGATTTGTGAAACATCATTACTGTGAAGGACTCTAGTAATTTTTTAAGTCTTTTCTTAAACCCTTTGTGAATTTTGAGACCTTGCCTTTTGATTTTGCAGTGAACTGTTCCAACATTCTTTTACATTTGTGATGTGCCCTAATAATAAAATATTTATTAATGCATAATTTCATTCCCTTAAGTAAATATCACTGTCATCATATTGTGGTGTACCTACAGTACCTGACGGAGATGACACAGCACGGATAAAATCTTTTGTTATTAACTTATTTGAAACACATGTTTTCAAAAACTCAGATATACTTATGTGCCTGGTAAGCTGGGATTTTGGGTAAAGTCGCCGAAAAGTCATTTCTAATCCTAAAAAAAAATCTGCTGTCTCTTTGTTAACATATGTTAAGCCTCCACGATCTAGAATCTTAACAAAATTAAATGATGCGCTCTCAGAAGATTGGTGTGTCTTGATATTTTGTAACATATTTACTAATTGTTCTTTTCCCTGCACCTTGAGAAATTTTTTTAAAAGCTTTGATATAACAGAACCAGCAATATAACATATAACTTCTTTCTCCACATTAGTGACGGGCTTGTGACTTGCATATGTTTAATTTTAAAAGCATCTCAAAGTATTTGATGAAGATTAGGGTAATTAAATGGCTATTAACATTTAAATTTTCAGCTATTTCAGATGATATCCTTGGTATGCATGCGTGAAATTCTGACCAAGAATCGATTGGTTTAGCAATACCATTTGTGCAAGATACCAGATGATCAAAGCTCTTTTGAAGGCTTGAGTATAGAGAGGTTACTGAAAAACAACGTAAAATTCAGTTACTCCTTTTTCATAAAAATGAAGTATTTAAAATACCACTTTAGAAATTACACAGTAATTGAAACATGAAGTCCTAATAAATTATAATCTTTCCTAAAATTACAATAGTAATATGAAAATGAAATGGTGTTTATAATCCTACTGTTTTGCTCCAACTGGGCTAATGAAGATGGGCATACGCCATGCAGTGTGCTATGAGAGAAATTTTGTGTGGACAGTCACGCTACAGCCCACTCTTTTGTCAGATTCCAACTGCCAAGGGATCTTTTACATGTACACCAATGTGTTCACTTGAATTCGATTTTTCGTCCCATCCGAATAACTAGATAACTGTCCTCGTCAGGCCCTCCACCCTGTACCACTGATCTGGGGAAACCATGCCAGAAATATGGGTATATTAGTACATAGCTAATCAAATATTTAAACATTATACAATATTAAAAATGCATTATGTAAGAGCCAAATCGAACTAATTACAGGGTTTTATTTTGGCTTCAAATGATGTATAAATTATTCTTTAAACATATAATCAACTCTCTAGATCATCAGATGACACAGATGTAAACATTAAAATACAATCTCCATTTAATGATTTAATTTAATAATGTGATCACCATTTAATGAATGAATCTAAAAATGGAAAAGCAAGGCTTAGTCTTGATTAACAATGCTACAGTAATAGACACTATTTGCCAGATCTTGTCAAAAATCCAAACATCGCTTAGAATAAAGTAATTTGAATGAAATTTTCAATATATTAATTTAATTTTGAATGATTTATTTCGGAACTATAATAACATGAACAGCCAACTCTTACCTAAATTGTGTATAATGGATCTTTAAAATTAAGAGTAATAAATACAACTAAAAATCCCCATCAAAATTGAAAACACTAGGACAAAATAGAAATAACAAGTTAATAAAACAAATTACATTCTTAGTTAACAAATTTATCATAATCGCATCAACAAAGCAACAAAACAAAGAATATTACAACACAATGAAGAAGAGTTTATAAGGATGCAATAACATTAAAAATAAGTAAACACAATTTTATCACAGTGTCAACAAATTACAAATTACCATTACACAACTGTACGTCCGCAAAAAAGGGGTTAGACATCTGTGCTCCAGCAACAACAGTCTCAAACTGGTCCAAAGTTACCAAAAGTAGCGAGTTCTTCAATTTCAAAATAAGAAAAAGGGATAATGCTTCCTATTGTTTTTTAACTACTGAGATCAATCAATCATGTAATAATATTTAATCTTAAAAAATGTCCAAACATCACAGAATTGATAATAATACATGAATGTAACTCAGTTACAATAAGTGGCGGGTGATATCTTTTTTCAGCTATTTCAGTGTTCATAATGCGACCTAATTACATGTATATATATATTGTGGGAATATGGAACAAGCTGTTAGTTGGGGAGATATAAAGCGTAATTATGAATGTCTATATCAATTTTGATAAAAACAACATTTGATTTAATTTAATGACAATATTTGCAGATAAACCAAAGTTGTCTCACTATTTATAGATCTAGAGTCAGAGAGGGGTGCATATGCCATATGTTTAATAAGTTCTAGTAGCCTATAAAATTAACTTATTTTCAAGATGTTACATGCATTACATTAATAATGAAATTAAGTAAAACATATTTTACATATAATTGTTTTACACATAGATTCTAACACACACACTTACAGCTGATCCATTATCATTTGTAGTACTACTAGCTGTTGACTTAATAATGGCAGTGGCTATTTGCCACATGTGGTAAGCAAGAATTTCAAAATAGCCTTACGACTACAGACCGCAATTGTTACCCGATTTTAATGAAACTTACAGAGTATGATAACATTGATAACATCTCTGAGTAGCCAAAATTTTCGGCCACTTCCGGTTAGCGGTTTCCGAGATATCAGGTTACCACACATTTCATGTGGCACGGCTACAGACCACAATTATCAACCGATTTTAACGAAACTTACAGATTATAATAACATTAATAATATCTCAAACTAGCCAAAATTTCGGCCACTTCCGGTTAGCGGTTTCCGAGATATCAGGTTACCACACATTTCATGTGGCACGGCTACAGACCACAATTATCAACCGATTTCAATGAAACTTACAGATTATAATAAGAGTATTAATATCTCAAACTAGCCAATATTTCGGCCACTTCCGGTTAGCGGTTTCCGAGATATCGGGTTACCATACATTTCATGTGGCACGGCTACAGACAACAATTATCAACCGATTTCAATGAAACTTGCAGATTATAATTACTTTAATAATATCGAAGAGTAGCCAACATTTCAGCCATTTCCGGTTAGCGGTTTCCGAGATATCAGGTTACCACACATTTCATATGGCACGGCTACAGACCACAATTATCAACCGATTTCAATGAAACTTGCAGATTATAATTATTTTAATAATATCTCAGAGTAGCCAAAATTCGGCCACTTCCGGTCAGCGGTTTCCGAGAAATAAGGTTCCCACGCATTTCATGTGGCACGGCTACAGACCACAATTATCAACCGATTTTAATGAAACTTACAGAATATGATAACATTAATAATATCTCAGAGTAGGCAACATTTCGACCACATTATATACGATCTATGATATTATATACGATCTATGATATTATATACGATCTATGCTTGCACTTCAGGAAGAGATTTCGACAAACTCATCCGCAGAGAATTTCCCTTCGGCCGCTCTAGTCACGAAGACAGGGCTATGGTCATTATGAACCAGTCAGTAGTAATTTCTTAGATAAAATTCAGAAACTATTTTCCAGTTTATTCAAAAATAAATCAAGCATTTTAAATTTGAAGCAACTAATTATCGCATGTTCCATTAAATGATACTAAGACTGACTCCGAGGTCACACTGCCGTCTTTCCACAGAGCTTGGAGAAGGCTTTGATAAAACTGTTTGAGATCGAGATTGTAAACAAAACCACGTGCTTCCGGTGACGTCATGATGTTTATTATTATTATTGGCGCATGCCAATGACAGTCTTTGTTTACAGCAGATAGGTGAGTAATATTTAGAAAGATAAATTATAATAAAGGAAAATACATCTCCAGCTTGTCTGCTTTCTAAAAGACAACGTCGACTAAAAACAAAATGGATTGAAAGGTAAACTGCATGTAGTTGTACTGTCTGCTTATCTCTCTAAACACATCTGTCAAAAATTCTTCCATTTTCTAAGTTCTTTTTCTTAATTTCTCTTGTAGGCCATGTCAGACAGCCAGTGCCAATAATGGTGCTGTGTCATGGTTACAGCATGCTTTTGTTATTTTGTGCTTCCAGAAACCGAACATAGTTCTCATAGAAATTTTTTGAAGGGATTTTTGATCTTGCAAGTTAATAAATATTAATGACTATATATTTAGGCCTGAAATTAGTTGCAAGACCTACTAGCCTACTTACAATTTTAATTGTGACAGTAAGATTATAATTAAATTTTAAAGAATTTACATAAAATTAATTATGAACATGAAGAGGGTTATTAGGATTTATAAGATGTGAAGAGATAGAACAACCCCGTTAAATGTTCCGAAATTGAAAATTATGTCGAACTCATGAACAATTAATTCCTTTAATGTATGGTACTTAAATAACATCTAGAAGTATGGTTATAAAATAAACAAAAACACAACACAACATGGATATAATTATGAGTTGGTATACATGTTTTTTGTTCATTGGTTGCGAGAGAGAGAGAGAGAGAAATGGGGTTTAATGTCCTCTCGATACAAACTAGGTCATTTCAGGACTAACACATGGTTCAATTTTATTTCAATAATTTGTTCATCTGTAGGGGTCTTTAGCAGTGGGATGAAATCGGAGGACCTGGAGAAAACCCACGGGGTTGGACAGGCGATCCTACTCCTTGTTACGTACAACCTGGGAATCGAAACCCCACCAGTTGACTCAATGACAGACAGTATGATACAGCGTGTACGTGCTAACCATTCGGCCATTCATCCGCCCTTCATTGGTTAGAGTGTTTGTGTGTCTGTTTTAGGAGCCACCTTGGCTAAATGAGTAAGACGCTGGCTTGCTAATCTGGAGGTCGCGTGTTCAATCCCTGCATTGGACGAGAAAGTTCATCAGAATTTTCCGATATGGTTTCCCCTTGTCATTGGTGCAGGACGGAGGGTCTGACAAGGGCAGCTGTCTAGCCATTCGGATGGGACAAAAGAAGATCCCATGTATATAAAAGTAGGCCATAGTGTCGCAAAATATCCCTCATAGTATAGCACAATGTGGTGCTATTTTTAGCACATAATAAGAAGCTACAATACAACATGATATTGAAATGTCAATCGGGTTTAATTGGGTCAAGGACAAAAAATTTAATCTCACGTCGGCATTTATACCCACCCACTCTCATTAGCCCAGTAGACCTTAAACCCATTTCATTTTATTTTGTGTGTCATGTCTGCAGGTTTTTCTTTTATCAGTTTTTTGGGGGGTAGTTCAGTCCTCCAACAAACTTTGTAAGCAAAATTATTACAGCCCAATTATCAGTTATCAAAATTTCCCAGCCCAATTATCAGTTATCAAGGTTTCCCAGCCCAGTTATCAGTTATCAAGATTTCCCAGCCCAGTGTTGTCAGACGAGAAAATTTTTCAAGATTGACCAACCTAGATCAATCTGATTAAAACACAGATCCTATTTTGTTTCGTTTTTATAGTTCAACATTTCGTTTTACTTGTCTTTACTACACTTGGATCTGGAAGAGTTTTTATCATTGACGTGTTCTGAATGGTGTGAGGTATTAGCCAATGAAATGGTCTGTTAAGGCGAGCTTTAGGCGTATTTTGCACTGAACATCTATGTTGATTGGTTAATCAAATGTCTGACGTCATAGGTCAAAAGCTGCTCATATGATCTCCGACGCGACCTATCTCTACAACCGGTCATATCTTCATGTAGCGTAGGCCATCGAAAGTATAAAAAAACGAAACGAAATATAGATCTGTATTTTAATCTGATTGAACCTGGTTTACCCATGCCTGGGAACGAAAAGCGTCTGGTTATTCGAGTGGAAGGAATACTCAAGATGAATAACTCACAGCTTGAATTGTAAATATGAGGATAATGCCCTGGTCGGTACAGAAAAATTAAAAACCACTTCATTTCTCATTTCTTTTTTCTTAGCGGTATTATATGTAGGTAAGATTACATAAAGAGAGAGAAATGGGATTTAACGTCCACTCAACACAAACTAGGTCATTTCGGGACTAACATATGGTTCAATTTTATTTCAATAATTCGCTTGCGTGTAGGGGTCTTTAGCAGTGGGAGGAAACCGGAGGACCCGAAGAAAACCCACGAGGTTGGACAGGCGACCCTACTCCTTGTCACGTACAACCGGGGATTTGAAACCACGCCAGTCAACTCAATGACAGACTTTATGATACAATGCGCGCACGCTAACCATTCAGCCATCCAACCCCCCAGACCCATCAGATGACATTGAGAGATGATTATGGTCTTGTCATGTTAATATATGTCTAATTAATAGTTTATATAATATTTAAGGCCTAAAGAAAATCCTGCAATAAGCAGATTTAGGTCTTTCATATTGCTTGTCATGGTGTTTTAAAATGCACCAAGCTGATGGCCATGTGAATGAAACAAAATGCCATAGCTCTTTGTTAATGTCAACCATATTGCTAGAAGCATATATTAATATTACAGAAATTTTTGAATACTGTATTTACGAAGCAGTTCAGTCAGTTCATTCTGAGGCTAAACCAAATTAATTTTTTGTTCTTTGTTAGCCTTTTCATCGGATCTGTTTGAAATTTATATGCATCAATGAATTTAGTGAAATGAAGAAGCCTATTGAATTTCAGCCTTTTTCGGTTTATTTCTTCCAGAGTTATGGCCCTTGTTTCACTTTGTTGAACCTTATAAACGCTCGAATGATGAAAGGTATCATCTGATCTGTGTGAAATTTTTATGGATCATTTAGTGAAACAAAGAATCCTATTGAATTTCAGCAATTTCTGTTAATTTGTTCTGGAGTTATGACCCTTGTTTCACTTTGTTGCACGCTCTAACGACAAAAGTTATCATCCAATCTGTATGAAATTTATATGCATCGCGGCAACATTTAAATTAGTAAAACTAGGAAGGCTATTTTTTACAGCAATTTCCATTAATTTCTTCTGGAGTTATGGCCCTTGTTTCACTTTGTTGAATCTTGTGAACGTTTGAATGAAAAAAGTTACCATCCAATTTGTATGAAATTCATATGCATTTAATTAGTAAAACAAAAAAAGTCTGTCAAATTTCAACAATTTCTGTAAATTACTTCCAGATTTTTGATTTTTAGAACCTTGTGAACCCACAAACGGCAAGATTTATAATCTGATCTGCATGAAATTGTCCGGTAAATGCCCCGAATTACCTACAAAAGAATAAATATGCAACAACCCTTGTCGACCACTCTGACGAATTATCTGCGGTGGGCATATGTTGTCTTGCCTGGCAACTTATCTTTGTTTTTAAATTATTTATTCCCCTGCAAGATATAAGAAGGAAATGTTTAACTTGTGATGGCCTAATTACCATAACTGATGGACTACTGGGTAAAATGTAATGATTTTAGATTTCAAAGAAAATGGAATACAGAAGACAATATTTGACATTAAGAACTTTTTTAATGGGGGAAAAAGCAAAAAACTTGAAGTCATTATCTATACTTAACATGATCATCAAATGTCACATCCTGTATTTATGACGTCAGGTAATATTCAATATACCATAGTTAACCAAATAAATGCCTCGGAAGTTTGGTGGTCAAGCGTTCTAATACCTACATTTTAGATCATAAGGTCTGTCATTGAGTATGGGGGTTGAATGGCCAAATAATTAACGTGTTGTATCATAAGGTCTGTCATTTAGTCAACTGCCGTGGTTTCGATTCCCCGGTTGTTCGTGACAAGGAATAGGGTAGCATGTCCAACCTTGTGGGTTTTCTCCGGTTCTTTTAATTTCCTCCTACAGCTAAAGACCCCCTACTTGCAAGCGAATTATTGAAATTAAAATTGAACCATATGTTAGTCCCGAAATGACTTGGTTTGTGACCTGTGGACTTTAAACCCATCTCTCTCTCTCTATCTCTCTCTCTCTCTCTATCCCTCTCTTTCGGACTAATGAATACGGGTCGCCATCTCTCTCTATCTCTCTCTCTCTCTATCCCTCTCTTTCGGACTAATGAATACGGGTCGCCATCTCTCTCTATCTCTCTCTCTCTCTATCCCTCTCTTTCGGACTAATGAATACGGGTCGCCATCTCTCTCTATCTCTCTCTCTCTCTATCCCTCTCTTTCGGACTAATGAATACGGGTCGCCATCTGATAGGAAGAGTGACATAATACCATTTTGTAATTTTTTATGTTCTATGGTGATTATGTTCTCTGCTTTGAGTTTTTGAGAAACATTACAATCAAGCTGCTTTAATTTGTGTCTTTTAAAGAATGTTTTATGGATTTGGCAGGTAATTTATACCAATAGGGAATTGTAATAATCTGGTTTTCAAATAGACCCATTAACCAACATGTCGCACAGTTGGGAATACCATTAATCTAGTTTTGTAACGTATCCATTAACCAATAGTTTATTTAGTGACTACATTAAAAGACACGGATCATCATTGGAATGTTTCGTATGCTAATATGTATTCATATTGATTAGGTAGCATTTAACTGAGTAAATAAAATATTAAACATACATTATGCAAGAGCTAAACCTGTCTATTGCAGGTCTTTCTTTAGGCCTGAAATGTTATACAATGTACATGTGTATAAACTATTAATTAGACATTTATTAACAAAACAAGACCATAATAGACTTTTGGTGGTATCGAATACTCGAGATTTTAACTAAATTAGAATGGATCGCCATTTAAAAATTTGATTTAAAAATGGGAACGCGAGACTAAGTCTCGTATATAACAGTGCCCTGGTTACCACAATGCACATATCTTGTCAAAGCAACAAACAATGATAACTTGGCTTAGAATGAAGTAATTTGAATGAAATTTTCAATATTTTCATTTCACATTATCTATTTTTGAACTGTTGTAGTAAGAATGGTCAGATCTTTATATAAATCT